ATATGACTCCGCCGTCCTGGCAAGCTCTGAATGCTAACCAGAGTGGGCAGAACTAAATATACATATATATATATTTATTTTTTTTAATAAAAAACCAGTCTTGGGAAGCTCTACCTAATGAGCTACTGATACCTGGGCAATTGCGCTGTGTGTAATACAATAACTCTTCAAGATATCGTAGAAAGGCAATAGAGGAGGTTGAAAAATCGCTCACAGAAAAGAACCCCCCAATATTATTTACTTTTGAACATACGATGCGTTTCAGGAGCGTTAGGCTGGGCGGTGGTTTTATTTTGCTTATTGTGATCTTTGAATGCATTTATAAGAAGATTTGAAGGAAAGTTCAAGTCAAATCTATCCTTCTATAAGGCAAACAAAGACACACGTCTCGTGGTTACTGTTAGGTTAATTGGGTCATCTTAAAGGGGACCTATTTTAGAGTAATCCGAGCTTTATTCTTATCAAATTCTGGCTCTTTCTGTGCTCAGCATGGTTATGATGCTGCGTGTCATATTGTGATGTTTTATGGGTGATGGTTTAGCAAAGGTGATCTGAATATTTCATTTGTGACTGGGTTGCCACAGAACAAAAAAAGGCCTTTGTTATTCCTTTTTCCGCCACTGAAAGAGGGAGGTCTGGTTTTCCATCCTTTTAGAAATTAAGTGGTATAAAAATCTAGACTATGAATATTAAAAGTGAAAAAATCACACCCCAGGCACAGGGAAAGCGTGTATTCATAAAAAACTGCCTGAATGAAACGTGGCCCTCATTCGGAAGGGGCTTCCACCCCACCACTCTGCTGCTCGCAGGATTTACCACCAGCTCCTCTCTGCCTTCATCTATCAGATGTGGTCTGTAACTGATCTCCAGAAATATCACCCGTATGTGGAATACAACAGTAACAAACGTTTTTATTGCAACAGGTTCGCCAGTATGGAAGAACATCCACTGTGAGTAACCTTTTATTTCTTGTAGAGCTTGTGTTGCTTGAAAATCCTGTTTCTTCCCTTCAAATTGGAAGAATTAAGAATGATGTATCTCTGAGGAATATTGCTAACCACCCAAAAAAAAAAGAAGAGGCAAAAGGCTATGTCAGCATGGGAAGGCTCTTGTGGTGTCAGTTTGTGGTATCATGTTGTAATCCTGGCTAGCGTTAGAAGTACAAGTGCAGCATCCTGTGGGATTATTATGGCTGTATAGGTGTCCTCCTGCTTTTAAGACACTCTGAAGCAATTAGCAGCGATTCCATTTCGGCTCGGCTGGTCTGTACAGCGCCTCCCCGCGCAGATCCTGGATGGATCACTTTGTATCCCAGCGCCTCACAACCTTGGCTACTCCCACTCCTCTCTAGCCTGGATTTGAAGCAGAGACGTGCTTGCTATCTAATGTTAGCCTCGCTTGGCACAGCCTAGTGAACGGGCGAAAGAGGAGGCGGGCTCTGGAGGCTGCCAGCGCCAGAGCCACCCGGGTCAGCCACTCCTGCAGCCGGGTCGCTCCGATCCGCCGCAGCTGAGTTTTCTTCAGGCAAGGGACACTCAAACGTGGACTGAAATGTTGGGAAGACAACGGAAGGGAACGGGTGTCTGATCTTAGGAGAGCTACCTTTTACTCTAGGGGTTTTTGCATCCCCGATGCTCCCACGGGATTTGGCCGGGGGAACCGACGGGAGGGCAGCAGGTCCGTGTGTGGCAGGAAACGCTGTTGAACCTCTCTGGCTGCAGGATGGAGCCAAGTGTATTAGTCCTGGTGCTTCAGGCTGAGAGTGGCTTGTATCTCAAACAGGAAAAGAAAGCCTGGGCTATTTGGAGATTAGTTAGGTACACATTGCCCTCCCCTCTTCTGCCAGCCCTGTTCTGGCCAGGAGGAGCATGTAGAGGAGCAGAGCTGTGTTTATTTGCTTTTCTCCCTATTTCCCCTCTCTGCTTGCTGATAAATAACCTCTTTCACTGCTTGTGCCAGCTGCTTCTTTTTTTGCCTTACGTTGTGATATTGGTTTTCGAGCCCTTTAAATACGAATTAAAAGATCGCCTCCAGCGTTTAAGTTTTAATTTTGTTCCATAGATAACTTTCCTCCACTCGTAGATCAGTTCTGTGCTATATAGATGCCCTTGGCATTTTATTCCAGGGCCGGCCCTAAATGTATGGATTACTTGTTTTCTGCCCAAGTAAATTTAGCATACTGATTATGAACCAGAATACAAAAAGCCTGATAGATCAAAAGTATTTTGTATGGGCAGTTGAACAGGAGGTGAATATATAACGCTTTTGTTCATCAATAACTCTTTGGCTTTGACCTGTCTGAGCAAGTCGTGCAATAAGGTGAAACGCAGGTCACGGCGTCTAACAAATATGAAAATGTGTAGTATTAAGCAGTGCGGGGAGCTGCTGCTTCCCCGGCCCCATTGCTTCTCCCTGGGCAGCCCTCTGAGAGCTCGTCCACTCCCGGGGGCTGCCCCAAACCCCACCTCGCTTTGGGTGTGTGTGTTTCACCCTGACAGTTCAGCTGGGTGGTTAACACACCCACCCGGGGGGGAGGTATCCTCCTTTCCCCCGGAGAAAGGAGGAGAAAGCAGAGAGAGACGCTGAAAATAGTTGGGTGGAGATTAAAATAATCCGGGTGGGGGAAGAGGGGGCCACAACGGCGACAGAGAGGGGGAAGGAGATTAGGGACACAAAGTCGTTTCGAGTTGCACTTGCTGTGAAGAAGACACCAGGGCAGTGGTAAGAAAGCAGATGTTTAAAAATAGCATCCCCAGACCAGGCAGCTGGGAATTGGAGCCAGGGAAACAAACCGGTACACATCGCTCGGATAAACGCAACACCCCCAAATCTGCCCTCCGCAGTGGCTGGATGTATTACCCCTGCACCATTATTTGTCCTTATGGTGCCTGTTTTAAATAGTGGAAGGAGAAGAGGTTGACCGCAGGACAGCAGTGAGGAGCTGGGTCAGACACAATTCATGAACTTTTGTACTCCTGTGTGCCGCTGTCGACAAAGTAAAAATAATGAAACTTTGTGATATGTTTGTAAATGATTTCGGCTGACCTCTCGCCCTGCCCTTCACCATAAACGCTACGGCGGGGAGAACCTGGGAGGGTGAGAGGCTGCGGCTCGCAGGCAGCTCGCAGAGATAATAGCTAGACCAGCATAATAGGATGAAGGTAAATTTGGAAAATTTGGAAACTCTCTTCTTCCCAAAAGCGACTAACTCCAGCCTTTTCTCTTCTCTTTTTCACCAATCGCTGTTTCTGTTGTCGGCTGTTTTTCTTCTGTTTCAATATCTCTTTTATTATTATTTATTATTATTTTATATTTTAGGGGGAGGGGAAATTCTGACCATGGAGAATATCTTCAGATTCGTGTTAGTCTAAATATATAAAGACTCTTTCTAAATTATTTTAACCATTATTATTCCAAGTGGCGTGATTTGACCGGTAACGTCTGTTTTCTTAAAAAGGACGTAGACGGCAGAGCATTTAAAGTGAGCAGCAGGTCTTTCTGAGAATTTTGTAGGCGAAATTCGTCGCTATAAATTGGTGGAGAGTCGTATGGCTGTATTGCAGCAATAATAAGAAGCGTGAATCTTTTCTGAAATCCCACCTTCCTGCAAATCCGTATCTCAGAATTGAGTCCCAGCAGAATAGTTTGCATTCCTCAGAAGACAGTAAGGACTAAGAGAATTGCAAAGCCCTGCTATATTGTAGATGAAAACAGAATGTTATTACGTTGTCTATATATACCCTGTAGAACCGAATTTGTGTGATATTCATATAGTCACAGATTCGATTCTAGGGGAATATATGGTCGATGCAAAAACTTCACCGTTCTGCAAATGGTTAGAAGTTTAAATACGGGCGGAATCAAAAGGCATGTCCGTGATGAACACCCAGAAATTACAAAAGTTTTTGTGCCTCTCTCCTATTTGCCAGGTTTTAGGACGTCTCTTCAATTTCAGTTGTCGTTCAGTCGTAACTTTCACTGACAGACTGTGAATCCAAACAGTTAAATCTCAACAGAAGTTATACATTTTATTTAAAAAAATAACAACAAAAAAAATCCACTAATCGGTGACTGAATCTTTTTAAAGATACTCATAAATTAGCCAGATATGCCAGACCTTAGCAAAATTTTCCCATCAAGGGCTCAGATCGCATCCAAATATTTACAGCAACAGCAAAAGAGCAGCACTCGCCTCACTGGAATATATTTACTTGTGCTCCTGGAATGATACTGATGAATGAAGACCGAATTTATCTCATTAAAGCCGTGATATTTTTAACTTAAATAAATGCCGTCTCTAGTTCAATTGATTGAACTTTAGTGGTTAGTGAGCGATTTCTTGCCATCTGTATGGTTTTACATGCATACGTGTATAGCTTTACATATATAGGCGTGCGTTGGCGTCTGTGCGCGCATACGTATGCATGGAGATATATATTGAGCCTTGAAAGTGAATTGAGAAGTTACTGATTGCCTAATTTTATTCAGCAGAACTAAATTCTGGTAACTTTTGGATGACCTCTGCGAGACAAAGGCAGAACAGATCTATTGTACAACATATTACCCTCTTCTTGGATGGCTTCGCTTTCTCTCGCCTCCTTATCGGTTTCCTCCCTTTTAACCCCACTTCAGCTCCTCACTCCGAATATTTCTTTCGGTGTTTTACTTAAAGCGAGGTAACAAACCCCGGTGGCGGCCGCAGATGGGAAGTCTGACGGCACAGCACAGTCAACCGGGGCGGAGGGCCGCCAGCTCAGACAAAAGGCTGGCCCTACCTGCGGGCCAGGGGGAGCACCGCTTCCCCAGGGGTGCCCCGTACCTCGGCACCTGCTCGGGGGGTGCGACCCGCCGGGAAGGGGGGTCACTCGGTTACGGGGATATTCTGGGGTGAAATCGGTGGAAACACTGAGCTGCGGCGAAATCCGGTGATGGGCTCCCGGCTCCCCATTGGCCGGGCCGGTCACATGCCCGCCTAACTTTATTCAGTTGACAGCAAGTAGGAGGGCTCTATGGCAGGGGGAAAAAAGACAACACGAGAAAAATTAGTATTTTCTACCTTCAGAAATTAATGGCCATGAGTTCGTACATGGTGAACTCCAAGTATGTGGATCCTAAATTTCCTCCTTGCGAGGAATATTTGCAGAACAACTACCTAGGCGAGCAAGGGGCCGAGTACTACAGTGCCTCGCAGGGCTCTGATTTCCAGCACCAGGGACTCTACCCACGGTCAAACTACAGCGAGCAGCCCTTTAGCTGTAGCAATGCCCAAGGCTCTGCCGTGCAGCCGCGGGGTCACGGACAGGAGCAATCCGGCCCGGCGAGCCACTTCCCCGGCCAAGCAGAGCATTGTCCACCGCCTCCAATGCCCAACTCGCGAGCCTGCAGCCAGCAGCCGGCCCTCAAACCCCCCCACGGGTCGGCACTTAAGCAGCCAGCAGTAGTTTACCCCTGGATGAAGAAAGTCCATGTTAACTCGGGTAAGGATCCTCTTCTTACTTTGCTCTTCTACCCTGCCTCCGGCCGCCCTCAGCGGCGCTCGCTCGAGTCCCTGCCAGGCTTCTGGGCGAGCTTTTTAAGCCGAGGTAGCCAATTACACTCATCATAAATTTTTATTGCCGAGGAAATAGGCCGTTGGCCATGCGGGGCTTTACCGTGCAAGGGGAAAACTCTATTTCAGGAGCCTGCTAGGGGCTCCCAGCCTACCTAGCTGCCTGCCTTAGTGGGGGGAGAGCAGCCCGTCCATTGTAAGGCACCGGGACGAGCCCAGCCCGGCCACATGCTCGCAGCTCGTAAGGGTTTTCTTTTGTAAAGTCGAACCGGCAAGTCAAGATTAGCTTTGTAAAGTTCTCCGTATTTTTTTCCCAGTGAATCCCAATTACAACGGAGGGGAACCTAAACGCTCTCGCACAGCTTACACCAGACAGCAAGTCCTAGAACTGGAAAAAGAATTTCATTTTAACAGGTACCTGACCAGGCGCCGCCGTATCGAGATAGCCCACACTTTGTGTCTCTCTGAGCGCCAGATCAAGATCTGGTTTCAGAACAGAAGAATGAAGTGGAAAAAAGATCACAAACTGCCCAACACGAAGGGCAGGTCTTCTTCCTCTGGTTCAAACTCCCATTTACAGACTGGTTCCAAGGACCATCAGACTGACTTGACAACTTTGTAGAAGAGGTGAAATTTTCCATTTCATCCTTCGCTTCTGACCAGTACTGTACATAACTGACACTGTCCAAGCAGAACCTGCATATAGCAGCTAAGGACTCGAGAAACTGTCATCTTTCTTTAAGGTACTGTTGTACAAAGGAGACAAAATGACGCTACTTTGGACTTTATTTTATTTGCCTCTGCTAGCACAACCTAAAAAAAAAAAGGGGGGGGGGGGGAAGAAAAGGAGGAAAAAAAAAAAGAGAGAAAAGAAACATCATGCAGGCAGTGGGAATTAAGAAAATATTAAAAGAGACCTTCTGTCCATAAAAAGTAATAAATCATTGAAAATGAAACTGTCCTGTGTTTCAGTTTTAAATTCGAAAGTGAAGGTTTGATGCTTTATACTGGAGTTTTTACTTTTAATTGTCTTTTTATCCCATGCAATTTCGGGAGGATGCATTTGGGCAAGTTAAAGACAGGAAATTTATAGCGTAGTCTTTTATTTGAACATGAAGACTACTAATTGTGAACTTTTTGTGCTGCTTTACCTTTCTTGGTGTAATGAAAATACTTGCTCATTTCCATAACGTCTCAGAAGGTGTTCATAGGACTTAAGTGAAAACGGGTTATTCTATGTACTGATAGTGTTTGTGTATTTATTTATTTGTTAAGTAGAAGAGTGAAGATAAAAAGAAAAATAGTAAAGCCAAAACCAGGAAAGGGGAGCTGAAATACAACATTTCTCCTTTCCAGTCTCATGAACACATGTATAATGTTTACTTGTCTTGAATGTACACAACTTTCTTGTCCGGGTTTGGTTTTTTTTTCATTTCCTTCTTTGTGAATAGGAAAAGCATCCCTGCTCCTTACTGTGTGCCATCCAGGGCTAGAAGGCTTGAAATCTGTTTCCAAAGTCTGCTCTGCTCAGTGTTGTGCTTTAAATCATCGATACCTCATTTAAAAATGGATGGGGGTGGGGTGGTGGAAACAAGAAAAAAAAAAAGAGACCACAACAAAATAACTCCCCCGCCCCCCCCCCCAAAAAAAAAAAACCCAGAGTGAAAAATGTGTGAGATTTCTGATCTAACCTGAGCCACTCAAAGCTGAATGCATTCTTTCAACCAGATTTTTAATATCTTTTCTTTCTGAGACACAGACGGGAGATGTGGGTTGTGCTTTGCTTTGTTTGGGTGTTATTTTGGTCTTTTTTTTTTTTTTTTTTTAAAGAACAGTGATTGTTTTTAAGCAAACCACATGACTGCCATGGCTGAAAATCTCTGAGAGAGTCGCTTTCAGGGAAAGAGGAAAGGCTTGGACGGGAGCAGAGCTGGTCTAATACCCATCTATTTGTCCCTGGGTGTTGGATGCATCATGCCAAAGTTTTGGTGCGCTGTAACTCCCAAACCCAACCAAACCAGCTCTCTCAGCCACTTAAACCTCCTCTCAAGCGATTTGAAAGCTCAACCCTTATCTCCTGCACCCTCAGGGCAGCCTGGGAGAGGAACCAATATCAGCGAAATTGTAACGAGGTGATCACTTTATTAAAAGAGAAAAGGGGCAAAGAAGGAAACTCGGAGCAAAGGCGGAAGGGAGGTGGAAGGAGCAGGGGGTGAGTTAACGTGCCCATCTCCAGGCTGGGTGCTTCCTACCCAAGACCCACTGCTTTTTGGGCTTGCTCGGAAAAACGTGGCCAAAACGGGTTTGAATGCATTCGAAAATGAAAGGCTAGCTTTTCATCAGAAATGTATTCGGCAGCATTAGCTGTGGCCAGCGGTTAATTTCTGCCCCTTTCTCATCCCTAGAAGTCCGTAAAGTCTCTTTAAGACCTGGTCTTTTGTTTTAGAGCCTGGAGAAAACTCTTTGTTCTTCCTTAGGGTTAGCCCAGTTCTCAGACTTGCACATGGCAATACTTGAATATCTCCACGTCGTGATATTAAAGATGGATATTCCCGCATTATTCGCGTCATTGTTTCTATGACAAAAAGCACCGAGTTCATACATAGTAAAGACGTTTTTTTTCTGACGCCTTCACGTTGAGAAGCTGAAAAGGTATTTTACTGAAGTTCGGCTAAATTGCAGGAGCAGGTTCACCCAGAGGACAAATTTTCTATTCGATTAGTTGTATTTCAGCCGGGAAGAGTGACCTCTAAACCCTTAACCTTTTGGACCCAAACTACCCTTCCCTTTCTCTGGCATGGAGAGCAGCTAGCAGCAGCGCTTGAGGAGGGAATTCCTGAGACAAGTTTTCAAGTTTTGTTATACCCGGATCCTGTGGTAGCGGCCTTTCGTCTCCAGAGCTGTCCAAAGCCCTCCCTTTGCTCTTCAGATGAATCCAGGGAAAGGCAAAAAAAAAAAAAAAAAAAGAAAAGAAAAGAAAACCCACCCCCAAAAAAAGGGGGTTGGGGGGAACCTTCTCTGGCTGTTCTTGAAAATGCCCCTCCTGGACCCCCGCTGTTCACTCAAAGTCTGTGATAAGTTGGTTGGGAGCAGGGCAAAAGGGTTGTCAGAGAGAGCCACCAACTTTGGTTTCTGTGGTACAGTTCTGGAAAATAATGGCCTAGGATAAGCAAATCCTTACTTTGGGCTTCTTATCAACAGAGATGGCTCCCAAAGTTAAAGGACCAAATTCTGCTCCAGATTTACTTCCCCCACCCACTGAAGTCAAACAGGGATGTATCTGCGAGCAGAATTTGTCTCATTGTCTTTTGAAATGTTAATATCTCCAGGATGAGTGTTGAGTTCAACACAGCTCTTACAGCCCCTGTTGCAAGCCCTCTTTGAGCGAGGCTGGGGGCACTGTCAGTTTACACAGTTGTAATTGCGCTGTGAGCTTGGATAATACGTGAACTGGAGGCAAAAAGTACCAAAAGAAATAGTTTCCAGATGCCAGTGCTCTGTAATAACGACCAGGAGCACCCACTGGTCACTATCTCTCCTGCAAAACGAACCTGACATTTATTTCTTATTGGTTTTTAACCCTCCTTCAGAGTTACTTTGTGTCGAAAGGGAAGGTGGTTATTTTTGTATATCATGAGTGAAACGTTGTGCGTTGGAGCCTTTGTTAAACGGTTGCATTGTCCAGCAATACTCTCATCTCTGTTGAAGTGTGATGCTTTTTATAGACTTTGCCAATGTTTTGCTGCCATTGATTAAAGCGTTATTTATACTAAATGTCGCCTGTAGTTTTGATGTAAGCCCTCCGTATACATTTGAAATAATAAAAGGTGTAGAGAAATAGATTCTGGTTTGTACCTTGAACAAACAGTCCTTACAAGGTGGGTCTTTCTGCTGTGAAAATGCTGGTCCCTCCCATCATTACAGTGTTAAAAGATGAGTGACTGCATAGCATCTTTCCAAATGTCCCTTTGAACAGGTCTGATGATCGCCCCAGCTATAATGGTGTGACTTTAGGCCAAGCTGGAGTCTATATTTACATTTAGGCTGCAGTTAAAAGTGCCTGTCATCCATTTGCTACTGCTTTGCATTTAACAAGCCCTCCTAGAATGACTCCCGGATTTATGCATGTGCGATAGGAGACGAGGAGCCACACCTGAAGTCACCTCGATCCCCACACAGATGGGTGCCTTTTAGGTGAGTCCTGGACGGAATCCATTCAAAAAAGAAATTTGAAATGGAAATGCTGGAAGTAGCTCTTCCTGAGCAGTAAGCTTTCCTTTTTTTATTTTTTTATTTTTTTTTTTTCAGCCGATACAAACCAAAGACCACGAGAAAACACAAACTTGGGGAGTTTAAACTTTCCTGTGCACCTAAAGCAAACATTTATTCATTTATTTTTAATCCCGCTGACTAAGCACCTCAGACAACAACATGCACCTCTGGTCAGCAGAAGTCGATTGTGTTATTTGTTACAAGTATTTGCCACTGAAGACTTATCCTCCCCTGGAGCGTGGTCAAGGTAGGGTCCAAAGGGAGAGCACCCCATTCGCACAGGGCAGGAGAGGGGTGCCCGGGTGAGGCGAGGGCCCTTCCCACCGGGGTGTGCCGAGGTGGGTGCGGGTGCGGTTCTGAGCACAAGTTGAAATGTCGAGGCACATTTTGTGATTATACTTTCTCTCTCCTGTTTAATGGCTCCTCCTGTTACTCCCGATACATCAATACGGTTCTGTATATTATATCACCACTAGTCGTTAAGGTAAGAATGAAGAGGAAAGGCAGAGTCAATAGCAACCCCACTCACTGTACAGTACAGTAAATAGGGACCTCTCTGTGCAGAGCCACACCGTTTCCAACGGCCATGTTTGTTAGCCCTTTCCCCTGATTCTTTTCTCCTTTTTTTTTTTTCCTTCCCCCCAAGCCTAGAGACCAAAATAACCTCGGTAGGAACAGTCATAACAGGCAGAATTTCAAAGTGCAAGGAAGATGATAAGAATAGATTTCTACAAGTCCTGACCACGTGATTTGCGAAATAATTAATTCAGCACGTCCCTTAAGAAACACGGAGTCGTCATTAATCTGCCAAGCAAAGGACTCTATCAGACTTGAAAACTGAAGAGATCCCAAGAATATAATATACAAAGGGTGCAGTCCCTCTCTCTGCACACCTAGCTCTTTGCTAGCTGCCGAAAAAGAGACGCCCGGTACGTAAATATTTTTTACTTTTATTCCTTCTTATTTAAGCCTTAATGAACTCAGCTGTCAAACGCTTGACAAATAGGGCACGTTGCTTCCTGATTTCCAGCTCGGCAGCGGCCGGGAACCGGACCGGGCGCAAGCGGTGACCTTTGCTTCCCAGGGAGCAGGGGAAAGAGGGCGAGCGCGGAGCAGCGCGGAGTGCCGCGGAGGAGGCATGCTGACCGCCTCCATGGGCGGCGGCGGTGGCCGCGGCCGCCTGCGCGGGGAGGCGCGGAAGGAACAATGCGGCTGTCAGGACAGCCGCTGCCCGGTGCTACCGGCAAGGAAGGGCCCTCAACTCCTTTGCAAGCAGGGTCGTAAATTTTGCCGCGCGTCTTTGACAGCGGGGCTGCAGCGGGGCCAGAGCCAGCACAGGGCGCGCCTTCCTCCACCGCCCACACAAAGGCCGGCCACGGCCCCGCTCCCGCAGCCCCGCTCCCCCAGTCCCGGCCCCGCTCCAGCCCCGGCCGCCGTTCGTGTCATCCCTAGCCTCGCCGCCCGGGCGGAGGAGTCCGGGAGCATCCAGCCCCCGAAACGGGCTCGCCGCCTTGCAAGTCTCCGATCGATAGCTCGGACTAGGGGGAAATGGTATCTGTGTTTGTATATGAAGCCACCGTCTATGAACTCCACAGAATATGGACAACGAGGCTGAGATTTCTCTGTGAAATCCCAGAGTCAGCTGGAAATACTTTCTGCAAACAGGATATTCTTTATTATTCCTTGCTGGAGTAATTTCTAAAAAAAAACTAGATTGTAGCTTTTTATTACTTCCGTTTCGGTGGCAGGACAGAGACAAAGTTTCCTATGTTATGAATTATACATTCAAACAATAACACATTAATTCAATTATTCAAAGATGACAAATGTTTATGTGCTTTGGTAGTGACTAAGGAACAGATTTGCTACTTCACGAGAACTCCTACGTTTTTATCAATGAAGTTTTATACTATCCTGTTGGTCCGGGAAAGAAACCAAACTCCACCAAGAAACGCAGTAAAACGGACCCGAACATAAATCGCAGCCCTTTCATAAAAGCGTTTATTCCCGCATATAGCCCGGGCTATTTTATCAGTTTGACAATTGCCGGAGTTGTTGTTATAAATCATCATAAGTAATTCCTGAAAGGGTGCGAGGCTGCTGGGGGGCGGGCGGAGACTGTAAATCTTTCTGTTTTATTGCTCTATGAACATATGCTCCGATTGAAGAAGTCTTAGATCCTTTACCAGAGACAAATTCGTGCAAAGCTGGAGTCCCACCAGCCAAAGGATTAACATTTCCTTAATAGGCTTTTTTTCAGTCCCCTTTACGATGTCTTAATTCTGGTGGCGGTGGTGAAGGTGCTCCTTCCTTCCTTCCTTTCTTTCTTTCTTTCACCCGCCCTCCATTTTCACATTATATTTCGCTTTTTTAGATTTTGTAATTTATTTTTATTTTTAAGCCCTAGACTCAGACAAGACACCCGAGGGCTGTGGGGCTTTTTCCAGGTGCTTCGAAACTGCCCTCCAAAAAGTCATTTTCTTCTGAATCCTCTTTGTGCTTTTTGCTCTAGTGGTGCCCAGCTTTTCCCTCCACTTTTGTGTAGGAAAAGAAAGACCTCTCCGTCATCCAAAATGTCTAAACAGCGGCCAGAATTATGTTCGGCTTTGTGTGTATGTACACAAGTATGCAGAACACGCTGTGAGTGTAGGGGTTGCTGTATGTACACACAGACACGCGAGCGCGGGGGGCTCTGCAAAACTACCCAGACACCGAAATATATGGCTGACGGAAAAGGATATAAAGAACCATTACCTCTTACTTGAGGCGAGATTTAAGTGCATCATTTCGAAGAAATATAGGGTTATAAATCCGAAGCCGTACACAATAATTTACATTGAACTTATGTTTCCATCACTGGACTCCAATCTTTTTATAACTGGTTTGCAAAGTCAGGAAAAGCAATGTTAATTTAGATAAATGTTACAATGCACTTACGGTTAGTATTGTAAGGTAATACGTTACTGTCACATCCCCATGCTTTGGATGGTAATGAAATCATAGCAGATGTTAGATTAGGTGTAGTGTATTTATAGCCACAGATATGTTAGAAAAATCAAACAGAGGAGCTAATATAGGTGTTTTTTGTTTTTGGTTTTTTTTTCTTGTTTGTTGTTTTTTTTTTTTTCTGAACTGGAACTGTTGGGTAGCTTTGTGGGTACACATGACGAATATACTTCGGGTTTGCTCTATGTCTCTTCATACACACAGGGAGGGAAGGCAGGCTCAGGGCAGACACACACACGCACAAATGTCATGAGGTTGCTGGCATGGCTTTTTTCTTCCCCAACGCTTATTTAGCCTCCAGACAGGGGTAGTCCCTGCTACCCCACATCTTCCCGGTACGGAGAAGGAGAAAGCAAAAATTCGCTCACGCCAGCGAGTCCCAGCGCCTTTCCACCAGAGCAGCGCTGCTGTGGAGCTGCCCCCTGCGCAGGCTCTCTTCTGCGGCCGGTCCCAAATACCTCATCTTTCTCCTCCGGGAATTTCTGCGCCCTGGGATCATCCCGCGGAATTCACCTTTTCCCCAGGCTCCGCCGGCCTCGCGGGGAGCGTAAGTGCGAGCGCCGCCGCCGCCGGCCTCCGCGGTGTAGCGCGGAGCTCCGCCGGGAGGAGAGCGGGCCAGTGCGCGGAATACGGGGTGCGGCGAGCGGCCCGTCCCGCGGGGCCCGGGGAGGCGGCCCCGGTGAGCAGGGGTGCGGGCGGCGGCGGGGTGCGCGCCAGGCTCGGGCCGGCGAGCTGCTCCCGTGATCACGTGGGCCCTGTTCCTGTATTTTAAGGCAGTGCCTATATTTCTGATTATAAAGGGGTTTCTCCTGCTGGCCCCCAAAATTCATCAATGGCCGCACGATTTAAAACCAAAACAAAACACGAGCCGGCCAATTGCCGCCTGTGGTTGCAGGAGGCTGATGGCTGAGGGGTTGTGTGTTGACTTTTTTTTTTTTCCTCTCTCTCTCTTTTTTTTTTTTTTTGTAAGCCCAACAAATTCCGATTTCCACTCGCTCTCTTTTATTGGTAGTTGAGCCTGAGCTTGTTTTCGCTCTATCGGGAATTCTGGTGTATGGAAATGTCTGTAAAACCGCAAGATCAGGTTTAGGAGAGTATTGTCTTCAGACAAAGGGTGAAGGATATATTCTAACAACTGCAAGAGCAGATCCTGAAAAGTGAGGAGTCCAGGTTTATGATAAATTGATGCACAGGTAAGCAACTGCATGACAAAATGGGACCTTTAACCACAGGGGCTGCATTATTGCCTTTGCTCAGAGACTATCTGGAATTTGTTTGCAATCTCTGCCCATAAGGGCTGCAAATGCATGGACTGGTCCCCACCTCTATGAACGCTTTACGCTGTATCTTCTTTTAATTATGCTCCTTAAAGAAAATGTAGACTCCTTCCCAAAGGCTAGGGGAAGACGTTTAACCCTATCCTCTTCCCAATTTTTGCTGGTTGCAGGAAGGGAATTGCAAACAATCGAAGGAACAAGGGGCAGACGACTTTGCTAGATGCTCCCATTGCCAAAGTAAGATTGAGCATCGCGTTAATCATTGCCGTGGGTAGCCGGGCAGGGGGTAGCCGTGTTGATTTGTAAAGGGCGATTTAAACCAGGGTCATCGGTATTGTAGCCCCTGCATAGGGTATCTTAAATATTCCTGCCAAATGTCTTCCAAAATCTTTTCCCCTCTCCGTGCATTCCTGTTCCTCAGTGGCTGTTGTTTTCATCACCCAGTAGTTTTGGTGTTGATACTACCGGTATGCTCATGCTTCCTAGTTACATACGCTGTCTGAAACACGACTTGATATTTACGTACCGAGGAGTTTATTGCCCTCCATTCGTGCAGTCTGATGAACCCGGCGGTGGGAAGGTGCCCAAGGGGATCAGCCTGTGTCCCTTCTGGTGGACGGGGGAGCTGACAGGGGCCGTGCAGCCTCCCCGCACACATCTGCAGCTCAGCTCCCTCTTGGGCTGTTGCAACTAGCCCGGCTTTCTCAGAAGCGCCTGTCCCACCGGTCTGTGGCCTGCCTGCAGCCCGGGTGAACTCTCGGTTATGTTTGTTAGACAGCCCCTGCTTAAATCCCAGCTTTGTGCAGGCTGGCAGGAGTGGGTGTAGGGCAGAGCCGGACATTGGTCGCCCCGGCCACCCCGGCAACTCCTCAGTGGGGCCGAGGTGTCAGTGGGATGCAGGGCAGGAAGGAGAGGGAAAGGGAAGAAAGGAGGAAGTTGGGGTGGTTGGTGTGATTTTTTTGTTTGTTTGTTTTCCTTTCTGTTGCGTGTTGCTCTGCTCGATCAGAAGTTAAAAGCAGTGAACATTTTTCTTAGCTCTATGCCTCCAAGCTGCTGGCCTGCCAAGTTAGTCAGCTGAATCCAATTACTGCAAGCAGCATTTCATTTGGCTCGATGGAAGCACTCACTTACAACTTCACCTAAAATTTCAATAATACCTATATTGGGCCCACGCCTGAATAATTCTAAAGATTTCCCTGCGTTTAGCTCTGGCGACTTCTTCTCCGAGGTGGGCTCTGCGGGAGCAGCGCCGGGAGCAGAACACAGCCCCAGCGTGCCCGGGATCCCCTCGCCACAGAACAAACTTTGGGGGCTATTCCTGTGGCCGTGGAAATCCCGAGATTTGGCCAAGCTCTCACCAAGTACAACATGTTTAGACCAAGAAGGTTTCCGCTTGTGAGGCTCAGGAGCTGCTTCAGGAAGGAATGAGAAGTCGATAATTAATTAGGCACAAAATGAAAACTTACCGTATTAATCAAGAGCGGCTAACAATGACTCGGTTTGCAATATTATGATCTCTCCGCTCAGGGGCTAAGGTGCAACGCCACTTACACTGCCTTCAAACACTCTGTAAAGTGCTATTTCTAATGACCCGTCTTTAAAAAAAATAAAGCACTTAAAATTGACGTACACCCACGTGAATATATTATATAAGACGTTGCCGGGACAGGCCCAGGCCAAGAACCCGAGTGAGCATCATGTGTAATCATGAAGCTCCACTTCCCCAACTCCAGTTTGCCAGCATAAATTAAGGTGATAAGAAGAGGGAATGTTGCATCCTACTTGGTTTGGGTAGGGAGAGAGAAGACTTGGTGGAAAGTTGTAAGGTCTGTTGTGTTGTGAGCTATTGGAGGCGCTTCCGTTGGTTGTTCATTAAGTGGTGAGTTATTGCTGTACGAGGCAAAGGTCATTTCAAAGGCTTATGGTGGCTAGATATCGTCTTTATAATGACCTGGGCTTCTTTGTGGGGGATTTTCTGACACTCTTAAGTTCTTAAAGTCCTGAGTCGACACATAACACAGCCAAATGCAAAATGCTCATTTCGAGATGCAAATACTTGCGGGGCATTTTCAGCTCTGGGGGTTCTCCGCTTTTCTCTCTCTCTGTCTTAACAGGGGTCCGGGGGATAGGAAGGGAGAAAGACCTGCGCTAGCTCTGTTTCCCCAAGGCCCTCCGCGGGCCGTGAGTTGCGGGAGGCAGGAGCGGTGGAGGACCGACGGGGAGCGGGGAGGACCCCGCAGCTCCCATGCAATGGCGGTCCCTCTCCTCCGTGCGCTGAATCTCTGCTCTCCTTCTCTCCTCGGCCCGGGCTGAGAGATCGGGGAGGCACAGGCGGCTCCCCTCCGCTGTCGGTAAGCGGGGCCCGGCAGAGCGGCTGCCACAGGCAGCCCTGCCTGGGTACGACCCGCAGCCGCGGAATTTTGCGCGTTTTTTCGCTCCCCGCCTCTCTCAAAGCACTATTAACAAATGGAGAGAAACATCTGCCCTTTGTCTGGCAATAGATCTGACGCGGACGGAGAGACACGGTGAGGGGCTGAGAACGAGATGTGCATTTATTAACAAAGTCCTAAGGAAGAAAGTCCAAAACAAAGCAGTTTCCGCTGACAGTTCTCATTTTTTGTTGCAGGTCCGTGCCCACGGATTATCCAAAGGAACCTGAAGATCCTACCCAGACAGTTAAAGTCAAAAATCAAGAAAAAACATAAGTGTGGTGAGTTCTCTAAGTTTCCTTTTCCATCCACCTCCCGCTTCCCCCAGTGCTGCAGGCCCTCCGCAGGGACCAAAGCCCGGGCCCGGCAGCCGGACCGCCGAGCGGGAAGCGCTGCTTGGCCGGGCGCGCCACAGCCTTCGACGCCAGATTATACCAGTAAATACCAGCCCGCAGGAAGCCCCGCTGAAAGCGGGGTCAGAGGGAGCCGAGCCCGGCTGGGGAGCAACCTTGCCCAGCACCCGGCCGCGGGGAGCGGACGTCTACCCGTGGGGGTGCTCCGTAGCTGATTTAAGAGGCCTCACGGCGGTCACTGCTCCGTACCGGAGCGCCCCCGCTGCTCCTCTGTCCGCGGGCCCTTCCGCGCTTCTCAGTGCTCTCAGCTCGGAGCAAGACCTCCCGGCTTAGGTCCAGGTCCATCCCCAGCGGTGGGTGCCCGGCTGCCCACGGCAGCCCGCCCAGGGCAGAGGGTTACCATAGCCTGGGTCTCCTGCCCGCGGCCCGGAGCGGCGGCTGGGTCCGGCAGTGGGTCCAGCGTGTTCCTTATATACAGAGCTGCCCCGGGCCGGCTGCCGGGAAACGTGCCGAGCAGGGGATTCTTTTGCCGGGCTCCCTCCTACGCGCCGGCTGCTTTGCACTTCTGAAAGTGCCGTGGCTTGGGAAGTGTTTTCCTTTTCATTCCTGGCCGGAGCGTTTACTGCCACGGCACTAGCAGTCATAAATTTTGTTACAAACCGCAATGACAGGTGCATTGATATGCACCCTGAGAGCTCCAGCTGCTTTAATAACCGCTCCGCTGGCCGCGCTCACCGCCTCTTATTTATTCGGTATCATATTAGATATTGATCCTCAGCAGAATTAAGTGTAGTGGAAGTTTTACTAGAGAGCTGCTTAATATGGAGGTGTCGAGAGGAAAGCGCCGTGTGGACGCTCAGGCTCCCGGCTTCTCCCCAGGTATTGCCGTGAGAGGGTCGGTAACCTCCAAAAGCGTTGGAGCCAGCGGCAGGACGGACAAAAAGCCCCATTATCGTGTCCAACGCCAACAGTTCAGATAAGGTTAACCTTTCTGGAGCGCAGGAAGGGAAATTTGAAACACAGGCATGGATACGTGGTTTCCTACCCTTGGAGACTCTGAGCCCACCTCCCACAGCTCGGGCCCACCATTTGGATGTCACCTTTTTTTTTTTTTTGTTTTTCCCTGGAGGCTGTTTCTGGCCAAACCACCAAGTGTTGAGCCCCTGCTTTGGTGTTACCTATAAAAACATCACCCCGGGCCTTGCACTCGTGGAAAATCAAACCCTGGAGAGGTCTCTCTCCCCTCTTTCTCTCCCTCACTCTCTTTTTAAGATCTAAAGATGAGCCACCAAACAGTTGAGCATTGTCTATGTGATTTATGGCCCATAGCCTCCTTTTTAGGTTCAAGCAGAGTTCACAAGCAGTTGGTATTTCAGAAAAGAAATAAGGCTTTTAACAGCTTAACAGCAATATTCTTTCTTAAGATTCTGCGTATTCTTTTGGGAACTATATTTCACAAGGCACATAAAAGCCCACGCTTAAGGCGGTGTTGTGCTAACAAAAGTCCTCAGTCCAGACCGCTCCCGAAAATGTAGATGATGGAAGTGGAAAACGAGCGACAGAATTATTTTGTACAAAAAATACTTTCAGGACTCTTCAAGATTGTCACAGCATATTAAAAAGCATCTGAATCGCCACCGCCCATTTCCATAGACAACTTTTTTAAACTAAATTTTCCAGGAGAGGAAAATAGCTCTTTTTCCATTTCCATCAGCTTCGCAGATCATCCCAAGCTTTTGTTCAGGGAAGAAAAGGACCCCGGTGGTTTGTGGCAGGGGATAAACCGCCGAGAGCGGCCGCGGATCTCAGGTCGCTAAGGTTATTCTGAATTACACAGACGTGTATAATCCCGGTGAATTTTAGGGAACAGATGAGCGGTACTTGGCGGTACCAAAGGCTGCGGGACAAAGAGCAGTATCCTGGTAGTATTGCTCAAGTATAGGCCGGAGAACGGTAATTATCGGACACTGGTCAAAAATACCTAGCTACTCTTCTCTCGGATGCTAATAGGCTTAAACCCTGAAGAAATAAAACGAACTCTGCAGATACGTTGAGTTACAGGCTTACATTGGCAGGTGAAGCATATGGCATTTTACAAAATTACTGAAACTGTCGGACTAAAACTAAACCTATCCCACAAGAAAAAAATAATGGCAGTGAATATTAAAAAAGCCGCAACAAAATCACAGAACAGTTTCTATCTTGCAAAAAGTGCAGGGAAGTTGCAAGGGAAAAGGGAGCAGCACTCTGGCCCAAAACATCTGCCCCGAGGGGACAGTGAGTTTTCGGCTTAAACAGTCTGATCGGGAGGCCGGTAGGCGGGGAGGGGAGCGCCACAAATTCGCAAGCTGGAAAAAGAAGAGAAACCCCTAAAAATTATCTCCCATCGCTCAGGTTCTTTCTAATGGGGACAAATAAAAGCGACGAGAAACGCCGGGTGAGGGAATTTAATTCATCACAGAAATAAAACAGGGGAGCTGACCTGAGACTTCCTTTATAGTGCAAAGTGAAGGGAGTGAATGGCGCCGGTTACACTTTAACTCCGGAGGAATCCGGGGGAAGAAGGAGGGCGGGTTTACAAAGAGGACGGGATTTTTCTGCCTCTGCCCGGCCGCAGCCCGGGCTCAATCCATCATGTCAGCTCTGCGCGGCCCTGCGCACGCGTGCCGGGCGGGAGAGGGGCGCGGAGGGCTCTGGGCTGAAATGAACGGGGGGGGGGGGGGCCTGGGAACACCACCCCGCGCGGCCTCGCCTTGCTCAGTGGGAGCCCTTCCCTTGCAACCGCGGAGAGCGATTCGTCCGAACTCCTGGGGTCCACAGGCAGAACAAAGCAAGAAAATTCCCCCAAATGCCTCAAAAAGTGGACCCTGGGAAGTCCCGCCAATATGTTCCCGTTCCCCTCAGCACACCCGCTCTCGGTGGCTCCTTCCCTGCTGTCCCCCTGTTCTTCCCTCGTGTGCCCTGCTCTTCTCCCTGGTGTGCTCCAATTTGGCCTGGCTCCTGCCTGGTGATCCTGCTCCTTTCTTGGTGTCTTCTGCTCACTCCCTCGTGACTCTGGTCCTTCTCTGGGGTCCCCAGATCCTCTCTCAGGTGTCTCCTGCTCTTTCCTAATCCCCCCTGCTCCTTCTCTGGTGTCCCTTGCTCCTTTTCTGGTGTCTCCTGCTCCTTGCTTTATGCCCCGTGCTCCTAATCTGGAGTCCCTTGCTCCTTCCTGGATGTCACCCTCTCCTTCCCTTCTGCCCCTGCTCCCGCCCTGCCGTCTCCAAGGCCTACCGGCCCTGCCGAGGCCGTTGGTGCTTGGGTGCGGGGCATTCCAGGGACAGCCTGGAGGCTCCCAGCCGTCGCCCCCCACTGAAGGTCTCTTTTGTGTCCCCACTGTCCCCCTTCCCAGGTGGATACGAGTGGCCCGGGCCGACGACGTGAGGCGCGGGGCGGCGGTCAATGTTATTTGAGCGGGGGCCGCGGGCCTCGGAGATAGCAGAGCGGAGGATGCAGAAAGCCGCTTACTACGACAACGCGGGGCTCTTCGGGGGCTACAGCTACAGCAAGGCCGACGCCTACCCCTACGGCGCGACCCACCAGTCCTACGGCCAGGCTGGCCTGGACGGCGAGTACCCCGGCTCGGCCTGCTCCGTCCAGGGCTCGGCTCCCGGCCGTGCCCCGGCCCACAAGGGCAGCGAGCTGAGCGGCAGCTGCATGCGGACGGCGGGGGGCGGCGCGGGGGCCAGCCAGCCCTCGGGCATCGGCGAACAGCAGCCCCCGGCGCTGCCGCCCTCCTCCCCGCCCAACCCCCCTCCCAGCGCGCCCCCTCCGAAAAAAAACAAGGGAGGCCCCAACTCCTCGGGCTCAACCACCGCCACCCTCAGCAAGCAGATATTCCCCTGGATGAAGGAGTCCCGGCAGAACTCCAAGCAGAAAAGCACCTGCGCCCCTTCAGGTAGCCCGACACCCCCGACCCGGCCCACTGCCCGCCCTGGGAGCGGGGCAGAGCCTCTCGGGCTGAGCCCCTGGCCCTGCACCTTGTCCCCTCCTCCTCCAGGGGCAATGGCCCCCAGAGATGGCTCGGGGGTCTCAGCCTCACCGGGCGCTGCAGGCGGGGAAGGCTGGAGGCTCCTGCCCTGTTCCCCCCGCCAGCCCAGTGGCGGAAGGCGCGGCCACGACTGGCCTGGATGGGGCCTCTAGGGTCCCTGGGGGAGGCAGCTGCGGGGGTCGGTGCGTGCAGGGCAGGGAGGGGTGGAAGGCCTCCCCCGAACTCCCTGCTCCCCCTCTCCGGGGGCCGGAAGAACGAGGGGGGCTTCGGGAGACCGCGGGGTGGCTTTCGGGGGGGACCAACTTGTGGCTCTTTCCTGCAGGAGAAAGCTGCGAGGACAAGAGCCCCCCCGGGCCGGCCTCCAAGCGGGTGCGCACAGCCTACACCAGCGCGCAGCTGGTGGAGCTGGAGAAGGAGTTTCACTTCAACCGCTATCTGTGCCGGCCGCGCCGGGTGGAGATGGCAAATCTTCTCAACCTGACCGAGCGGCAGATCAAGATCTGGTTCCAGAACCGCCGGATGAAGTACAAAAAAGACCAGAAAGCCAAAGGCATCATGCACTCTCCCGTTGGACAGTCCCCGGACCGCAGCCCCCCCCTGAGCGGCCCAAACCACGTCGGCTACTCCAGCCAGCTCCCCAGCGTCAACAGCCTCAGCTACGATGCGCCCTCGCCCACCTCTTTCGCCAAGTCCCAGCAGAGCATGTATGGGCTGGCCGCCTACACGGCGCCGCTGAGCAGCTGCCTGCCGCAGCAGAAGCGCTACGCGGGCGCGGAGTACGACCCCCACCCCATGCAGAGCGGCGGCGGCGGTTTCGCCAACCCCAGCCTGCAGGGCAGCCCCGTCTACGTGGGGGGCAACTTCGTGGACTCGATGCCGGCCTCGGGCCCCATGTTCAACCTGGGGCACCTGCAGCACCCTTCCTCCGCCAGCGTGGACTACAGCTGCGCCGCCCAGATCCCCGGCGGCCATCACCACGGACCTTGCGACCCCCACCCCACCTACACGGACCTCTCCTCCCACCACAGCTCTCAGGGACGGATGCAGGAGGCACCCAAGCTCACGCATCTGTAGCGGGGCGGCGGGCGGCGGGGCCCGCTCCCCTCTCCATTACCTCACTTTTCTGACGGGACAGTGTTACTTTGCTCTCGAGTGCCAACAGTGTTAGTGGATTTGTCTCCCCTAGCAGCTCCCTTCTTCCGCAGCCCCGGGTAGGTCCGCGAGCAGGAGCCTTTCTCTTAGGGCTGTGTTTAAGCATGACAGTGCAATATACTGCAAACCGAGGGACTGGTAAGCTGGTAATGATGTACTTGAAGGTAAGTTTTAGACATGCCGTAGTGTTAGCAGCTCGTCATGCTGAGGTGTTTTAGAGCAGGGGTGAGCGGTGGGAACTCGCCCGCGCGTAAACTTATTCCAGAGAAGTTAATTTATGAATTCTTCCGTAACGTAAGGATCGCATTGGACTAAACGATATGTATTTATTATTTTAAGCGAGACATTTTTGTATCACTGATTATTTATCCTCGTCTTAATGTATTTATGTGGGTATTTGTAGAGTTCCTTCACCAATACTTCGGGAGAGCGATTCAGGTCCGTGGTGACTGACATTTCCACCTATTTAGTATATTCGGTCTGAGCTAGTTGAGAGAGTAGTCTTGAACAGTTGTAACAGTGGCTGGTGTTCGTAGTTTATGTAAGGATTAATTAAGACAGCAAGTCGTAAGTCATGAATAGAGTAAAACAAACTGTGGCCATCACACAAAAGAGCCGTTACACTTTAAAAAAAAAATTAATAGTATCGGAATTATTTTAAAAGTATTTATTTCTGGCTGGCCCCGAGCGCCGGGGTGGCTTGGGGGCAGCTGGCTTGGCCGGGTGAAGCCACCCTTGGCTGGAATCACAGCCGCTTGGAGGAGGTGATCTACAAAGCAGGGACGCTTGGCCATCTTGTTTCAGATCAAATCCTGCGTACAAAAGCCTCGGTGAGGTTAACATTTATTTATTGACTGGGTATCTATCACACATATTATTATTTGGGTGGGCTATTTTATTTTCTTTTTTCTTTTTTTTATTGTTTTAAATTACACTCTGGCTATCTGAAATAGGAAAGATTAGAAGCTTAGAAAGCAAAAAAAAAAAAAATTAGAAATCCTCTGATAGTGCTAATTTCATTAGGGTCTCCATAGCAATCTGCGCAGCAGCTGCTGCCTCCTTTGTTATTTGTACTGTTGTCTTTATACTAACCATAAATCAATTTTTTAGACATCTTTGAAAGCCCGAGCTTTTCCTCTTGTTTTTCATAAAAATAAACTTTGAAAGAAAATTGACAATCAGGTAGATGCAGCCGAAGGGCAGTCGCAGAGGCGGGGTGCGGGCAGGGTCGCCCGACGAGGACGTCTCCGTCCCCCAGGACCGCGGCTGCGGGGCATCGCCGCCTCCTTCCGTCACCAACGGGACCGCTAACACGAGGCGGAATAAATAAAAATTAATTAAAAAAAAAAAGAAAAAAAAACAACAACAAAAAACAACCCCAACCAAACCACAAAACGATGCTCTGAACCCTCGTGTTTCCTCCTCTTTAGTTACACGGCTGTGTTGAATCCCTCGCTGGATTTACAGATACTTCTTTTGTAAACGTTGTCATTAAAGTCTCTTCCTGACGGTACACGTCTCTCCGAGAAGACTGTTCTTACCTCTTTCTAAAAGTGTCGAGTTCAAGATAAATCCGAACTTCCCTATTCCCCATCAACCCGTCTGACGCGCCACTTCCCAGTCTGACAAACACTGCAGCTCCTACTCCATCCTCTAATGAAAGGACATGGCATTCCTATTGTGGGAAATATTTTAACTCCTCCAATTCTGGTCAACACAGACAAGTTTTTTCTCTCTCTTTCTTTCTCTCTCTTTCTTTTCCTTCCTTCTTTTCTTTCTTTCTCTCTCTCTCTCTCTTTCTCCCTCTCTCTCTTTCTCTCTCTCCCTCTGTCTCTCTCCCTCTGTCTCTCTTTCACTCTTTTTCTCTTTCTCTTTTCTTTCTTTCTCTCTTTCTTTCTCTCTCTCTCTTCCTTTCTTTCCCTCCCTTCCTTCCTTCCTTCCTTCCTTCCTTCCTTCCTTCCTTCCTTCCTTCCTTCCTTCCTTCCTTCCACCCCCTTTCCCTCCTTCCTTCCCTCTTTCCCTTCTCCCTTCCTCCCCTTCTTTCTTTCATCACCTTCATCACCTTCCTTACCTTCCTTCCTCACCTTCCTTTCTTCCTCACCTCCTGGTATTTATGTTTGGCTGGACAGTAACAATTCAAAATCCTACTTAAGGTTTTATTTTCCCCTCCATGCAATTTTAACAATGTTGTGCTATGTTGAGAAGTGGAACTTCTGTTAAATTTCACTTTTACCCTAGCAAATTTGGATATATGTGTTGTAGATCTGTAAACAATACAGAACAGAATAAACTACTTTGTTCAGATACATATTTTAACCATTTTGAGCCCTAAAATTGTTTTATCTGGAATTTTCCACACAAATTGTTTCATAGAAGCTCCATTTGGGAGTAAAAACCACATACAAGTAATGCAAAAAGTAAGGCTAAACACCACTTGTGAATTACACTTTATAATATTCCATAAATATATATATGTTTGTATCTCCAGAATTTTCTGTAATCAATGTACCCAGGACTGAGATTGTACATGTGGGTTTTTTTGTGTGTTCTTGAAAACACCATGTATTTTGTACCACCTGCTTCTATATGTGAAATGGCAAGGCACCCCTATTTCTGCAGGGCCATTCCTGGTGTAACCCTATGTGCTTTCCTCAAGAGTTTCCCACCTCCATGCTCTGTAGGTTGCTCTTCAAACAGTGTCCGCTCTGACTTACATGATTAGTCCTTCATTAAATCTGTTAGGAAAGAAAAGGCCGTTTATAGGTAGCCCTTCCCATGATCTGAGGAAGAAGGGGGTTTGAGAGGAACCCTGACCACAAACACAGAGTTACTGAGGCACACTGCTCTGAGATATTTTCGTATTGCAGAAGGATGGGGTTTGCAGACTTAGTTTCCAGTGGGGGGGAGGAGGAGCATGTGCGAGGGGAAATCTTGTAAATAAATTCACTTTTCTTCTCCGTGACTCCGGCAGAGGCGTCTTGTTTGTGACACAGGAGAAGTCCATGATGATAACTTAATTATTGGAAGCAATGTTACTTTAGTGAGATCACTGGCATTTTTACAATGTTTGTACAAGCATCAGCAATCTAGAGGAGAGAGACACTTTGGCACAAGCCAGACTTTTTCTTGGCCCATCATTTAAAACCCATAAATTATAAACAGCCCCCTTTCACACTCAATAGGAACTCAGATCTTTTGCAACAGCATCTGATGTGATGAACTCCAGTCACCTATTTAAAACACAACTAGTCAGCCAAGACCAGGCCTGGGGCTGATCCTAGCCTTGCTTTTCTTTGCATGTAGGAGTCATATCATCCCTTCCCCTCCTTCCCTGCTCCCTCCATCTGCTCCAGACCCGTAGCAGGGTCACTGAACCAAGGCCTCTCAATGTCGGCAGCACTGCTGCAGTGTTTGGAATAGAGAGCTGCTGACAGCACTGGTTGAGGGGCGTCAGGGCTGTACTGAGCTTCAGTGGGTCTGTGAAGGTTCCCCTGTTCAGTGGGTTTTGGGTCTCCAGTTGCTGTTTTGGCTCTTATGGTAACTCACTATTTAATGGGGGCCCAGCAGTTTCCCTGCTGCAAAAGGAGATGAAGCTTTGTGTCAACTCTGTGCAGTCAGTACAGGACTGAGCTGCACCTTTGTACCCTCTTTCTTTTGAGGGGTGTCCCATCCATATCCCTCTGTCTAGGGCCTGGTGAGCAGCACCAGGGCAGGGGAACCCAGTCAGGCGCAGCCAGGAGCTCCCAGGGATGCCACTCTCTTGCAGGTGACACTTATGTGAGGCTGGGGAAGCAAAACCAAATGCATCCTGCTTCATTAGCAAGTGGTCCCTGGGCAAAGTAGGGTTTACAGCCCTGGTCCCTAGGTGGTCCAGGGAGGGATTCCAGGGCACCCCATATGGCTGCCACCGTGGGACTATGCCTGGGTCGTCTGGGCTGCACCAACCTATCCATGGGTAAAGAGGAGGCAGCTGGCTGCAGGCAAAGCAGGCAAGGACAGGCGGCAGCGGAGGCTAGCTAAGAAAGAGGGAGCCCACCAGCATCAGCTAGAAGCCCCCTGACTTTCTTAGGGACCCGCTGGATCATTGATGCTCCGTGGCAAGAAGTCTGAAGGCAGGACCCACCACTGGGGTCTCTGCACCGCTGAAACAGCCTGCAGAAAGGTCTAGGCACAGAAGGGATTACTCTGCTGAGGAACAAAGAAGGTAAAGCGGTTGGGGGTGCTGGGGTCCTGCTGGGAGGGTGCCTCACTGACAGCCGTCAGCCAGGGAGGCAGGGAAGGAGCTGCAGCTCACAACACCATCCTTCTACGTGCCAGACTGCTGTGTGTGCCCAGCAGCCACACACAATGGCAGCCCAGCGAAGGCACAGCATGCTGTGTGGTGGAGAGGCCCAGGCATCCAGCAGACCTGCCTGGGAACAAAAGCTGGAGCCAGACGGGCAGCACAAAGGGGCTGGTGCTGCTAGGGCAATTAGGGCTGCGGTGGTTGGCTGGGCACCATGTGATGTTATACATAGACGAACTGGCTACCTCTGCTTTTAAAAGGCATTAGATGTGCTGGACCACAGCTCTGTTGGCCACAGCCACTTTCCAGGGACTGAGTGGCAGGTTAATCCCTGAACAGGCTCTCCATTCCCATGTGAGCAGCAGCAGTGGCAACTTGGTCCTGGCTGGCAGTGGAGCTGGTGGGGGAGGGAAGAGGCTGGCTCTATTAAGGGTCATCAATCACATGATGAACACTTTTCACTCGACAGCGTTCCTCTGACTTCTCTTCTAGCCTGAGCCAGCTGGGACTCGATCAGAAACTCCAGCAGCAGAGGAATAGCCCAGTCCCAGAGCCCCAGAGCCATGGAGTAATATGGCAGGATGGGACGGAGCCCCTTTGGTCAGAAAGGCTGAGATGCAAAAGGGGACACAGCAAGGTGTCGTCTGTACCAGCACATCCACAGACCTCTGCAGAAACTTCTTGGGAGCAGACTTTGGCCTTTGTGTTCACCTTCAGGGCCCAGGATCCTGGAGCTCCTTGAACCCAGAAAGGCTCAGCTGCAACGATCATAAGCACAAAGCTGAATGAAATCAGCATGGGATCTGTACTATTAGTAGGATGGAGTCTTCTGGGTAAAAATACTCTTGAATGTACAAGTTGAGCACTTCTTTCTTTCTTTTTAGTTTGTTGATGTGCAGTTTTTCTTGCAACAGCAGAAGTTTTGAAGAGGGCAGACAACCTCCAGCCCCTGTGTAGTAACAATCTTTCCTCCAAGGAACTTGGGCCACTTTTTAGGACCTTTGGGAGTAAGAAGGGCTAGGCAAAGCAGAAATCCTGGCTGCAAACCCTTTAACATCTCTGTTTTGCACAGAGCAGCATGGCTTACCTTAATACCTCTGGGTTATCCATACATGTATATTTTCCTATAAAATTCATAGCCATGGGACAGGAAATGGCATTACATGGCGCAGGGGCTCGAGTGGAATTACTCTCCTTGGCAAATCTTTACAGAATGAGGGAGAGACTCCTTTTCTCTGTGTTCATGTGGAGGATCTTTATAGTTAATCCCACAGACTGTGAGAGCAGAGGTCTCTGTCCCAGGCCTGGTGAAACTGCCCCAGGGGTCAGCCAGGAAAGCGGAGCTTGTGGCAGGGAAATACTGGTGGCAGAGGGAAACACGCTTTCCTCAGGAAGAGCGCAAAATGCGCTGCCTGTTTGGAAGGGCTGTGCTTGTGCTGGAGCTGAGCCTGCCCCACCCCAGAGCGGCAGAATGATTTCCCTTCTTTGCCCTGGGGTCTCTGCACATCCCTGGTTTTATTCACACTGTACAAAATAAACTCCCCGGAGCTTCTCCTTTTTCTCTGCTAGCCTTCCTTCCAGGGGCCTTTTATGGTTTGCCTGTGTTAACAGGGACAATGCTTAAATCCCCAGTGTTTGCTTCCTTCTCTTTGGAATGCCCACCCATGCCCTGGCTGTCTCCACACGATGGAGTGCATCCCCACATACCGCTGAGAACCAACTCTCTCTTGCTGTTATGTTGTGGCAGCAGAAGGGCAAGGACAAGGCCATGCTTTAATCAGACCTTCTGTATCATTTTCCTGAGGACAGGGTTGAGCACGGGTCTGTTGAATCTCCTGTATGTTATTGAGACAAGCACAGATGGTGGAGGCTTACTCCAGAGAGGAAAGGCAATGTGCACCAACATCAAAGTAGTCCTTGTGGCCCAGGGCTGCCATTGCCTTCATGCATGTGCGGCTCAAGCAGCCTCCTCAGTGCACTGCTGGTAAGCATCTGCACTCAACGGGGCTTTGGGCTTTTTCACTGGGCTTGTTTCTACATCACATCTTAATTTCCCAGTGGTTGTGTCAGGCTTTGCAGTGGCCCATGTGCTCCCAGAAGTGTGGTGGCACAGGGATTGGTTTGGTCCATTGTTCTCACAGGGGTTTCTGGACCAGCAGCTCCTCTGGTTCGTGCCATTACTGCACTACTTGACAGGCATCCCCAAACCTCCCCGCCATTCTCAAATTGCCTTTGACAGCATCACATTCCTCCCACCCTTCTTTTTAACTCACTTTTCTTCTTCCTCCTTTTGACTTCCAGGGACTCTTTCCTATTAGACCTCTTGCAAAAAGCCAGCAAAACCAGCTGCAGTCTCTCAATTTCCTATCACTGGGACTTAGCCATATAAGTATGAACACTGTGAAATTCAGAAGCATAGAAAATCAGATCCCTGTCAAAAGCCAAAACAGCAACAAGAGATGCTCTGCCTGTGTTTAGCCACTGATTCCTGCTTTCCTCACCCTTGAACAGTCCTGCAAAAACAAACAGGTAGTGAACAAGAAACTCAGTAACAGAATCCAGCTGTGTGAATGGAAAGATCGTATGTTGGTGTGAACATGGACAGCTCTTCTAGCATTTAAAACAGAGCTTTAGGTGTAATTAAACCAGTTGTGTTCTGCAAACAGAAGACTCAAGTAGAGCAGCAGCCCTCCTCCAGAGCCAGTGCTATTTGCTTCATTGCAGGCAAGAGTTTTTACAGCAGGGGAGACTGAAAAGCACAGATGCTCTCCTGCATGGCCAGCCTTTCTCTGCTAAAGAGCTTGGTGTTCCCAGGCTTCTGTTTTGCCAGAAGATGACATTTTCCCAACTGCTCTGATTGCCATGGGTGTGCTGAGCAAGTTTGTATCATCCATAATTTAACCCCTCCCTCAAAATGTAGGTTTCCTGACAAGGTATATTTAATTTGAACTCTTCTTCTAATGTATACAACCAAATAGAAATACAGGTGATATCCCATTACTAGTGCAGCAGGGTAGCATAGATGAGACTGTGTCTGGAGAACACCTAACTTTGTGTCTCTGTGCTTACCAGTGACTGCTCTGTAGATCCCAAGTCCCAAGCACATTAATGCTGCAAAGCCAGCCTTTGCTCTGTAATAGCTGCTTTATAGCAGGTGGGTTGGATGAGCTGGGAAGAAAGCAGGGCTAATAGAAATTGACATCAGTGATCAGAGCCCATATGCAGTGAAGTACACCTATGTCCTTGTGGGCTTGTATCTGCCTGTCCCAGGGATGTGTCATGTCAGGGCCTCTGCAGGAAAGAAATAGAACAGGCCTGCTGTGAACCCTCAATTGGGTGTAATAGTGGGGCAGCTGGGGCTGAGCTGCAGAGCACTTCTTTGTGGGAAAGAGTTGAGGTTGAGTCAGTGAAACGGTCTGATTGTGTCTCCCAATGGTCTGATTGTGTCTCCCAATGGTGTCCCTTCTCTGCTACCAGCCCTCTGAAATCTGTGGAAGACCTTGTGTAACTTTTCCTTCTCTGGAGATCCTGGTTGCCCTTGGTTGGTTGTCACCATGTCAGGTCCTCACAAAATCTGTGGCCTCTTCTTGACCACAACAAGCAGAGCTTTGGCCAAGAGTTTATTGAGCTATTTGGGCTGTTGAGTCTAAGGCACTGAATAAAGGCATTTAAAGTTTGTGGTTTTATTCAGAAATATACTTTTTTATAAGGTACCACCTTGCATTTCCCAACTGATTTCACATCCACTTCCTAAGACTTAGAAGGTTACATGTGCAATTTGAAGCAGCATGATGCAGCTATTGCTCGTGTTCTTTGTCTGTCCACTCCCAAGTCACTGAAGCCCAAGTGTGCTCTGCCCAGAGTACTCTTTTGCTGTTCTGAACTGCACTGACACATGATTATCAGTCACTTAAAAATGCTTCAGGTACATCTCAGCAGTATGCGTAATGTCAGGGAAGTATAATCTTGTTTGAACTCAAAGTTTTGTACAGAATGAACAGTCCTCTGTAAAATGTTAAATTTAGTATGAGTCCTCCATTCCTGGTGAGGTACTAAACACAACATTTTGTATTCAGTGTGAATACAGGTTTTATGGAGAGGGGAAAAAAAAAAATCCTTTCCATTTTGATGCTCTTCAAAATCCATAAACTAAAATTTGTTTCATTAAAAGTAGGTTCCTTGTGGGGAAGATAAGAAAATTAAGTCTTAAAGCAGTTCTCAGATATAAAGATAGAATAGTTTTGGGGCTTTCATTTATTAATCAAGTAAATAGGGTGAAATAGTAAAAGATGAGGATGTGCAAATCACTCTTTCTAAGAGGGATTCAGCAGTCATATTGATTCCAAAGTACGTAATGCAGCTACACTAAGGTGGGAATACTAACAGTTTTCCTGCGTGTGCATGGCAGTCCACACCATACATGGTCTAAAAGACTTCAAGTAAGAGCTACTGGGGCCCACACATGTTTACCTGTAACAAAGACTTATTTTTTTCCTAATTCTGCAAGCATAATTTATAATAGGACTGCTTAGGGATCTTATGGAGATGAATGTTTTTATTTCCCTCCAAATCAGATTTCCAGTTATGTTTCAATACAGTGATCTTTAAGTATTGGCATCTTAATGATTGACTTCTATAATCTGGGACAACTTTCCCACATTTTGTAGCGATACACTTTCAAATCGCAATTGAAAGTATCTTGATACCTCTTTTTTTTTCTATTTTATTTCCCTCATCCTGTGAGTTCCTGACATATTTTTATCAAGGTAAATCCGTTTAATGGAACAGACCTAATTTTAATTTTGCAGCTGATCATTACAGGAATTATCCTGATAGGCACCATGTGGGAGCAAGGCCAACCTCTTGCTATATTTAGAAGGAGAGTTTTGTGCAACTTGCAAGCAATTTTTTAATTCTAGTGGTTGAATTTCCTGCTGCATCCACAAGGAAATAGGTCTTGGCTTCGCTTGCCTGAGTGCAAGAGGTATATAGATGCCCCATCCCTGAAGACATTCAAGGCCAGGCTGAATGTGGTTCTGGGCAACCTGATATAGTTGAAGATGTCCCTGCTCATTGCAGGGGGGTTGGATTAGATGGCTTCTGAAGGTCCCTTCCAACCCAAACTATTCTATGTTTCTATGATTATCAATTGACAAGTTAGATAAAACTCATCATTATCCAAATCAAGCATGTGTAGCTCAGACTGAATGGTCAAGTGTCACTTGGAGCCATGTAGGGAAAGACCATCCTTCTTGGAGTCCAGGCTTCATATCCTTCGCACTTGTTCTTGTTGCCTGCCATTCTGAGGGGATGAAACCAAGAGAGGGAGTTGGAGTGGTTGCCTGGGCAGTGCAGCTTGCTGCAGTCTCTGCCAGGTGAAAGCGCTCTGTAAACAGTACTGAATCGCCTAGGGAAAAATGAAAGCCCATTAACGGGGTGAGCCCGGGGATTCACTTTTGAGAGGCTGCAGAGCACTTATCTGATGGAGCGAGACCATTAAGTGCCGCGAGGTGCAGCATCCCCCAACCGGGTGCGGACAGCCTGGGGATGCTTGCGCATTCCTCCTCTCCCCCGGCTGCTCCCCCGGGCCGCGCGGGTTCCCGTGGAAGCTCCCGGGGGCTTGGCCGACAGCAGGGCAAGGGGAGGGGGCAGAGCTGCCCTGGGACGGGAGCCCTGCCAGTCCAGGGGAAGCGGCCTGTCCCGACGGGGTCTGGGGAGGGCTCGGGGTGCTGCCCACCCGCAGCCCCGCACCGGCCCTGGGCAGGTGGCCGTGGGCCGTGAAGCCCTCGGCGCCCGGGACCCCCGGTGCGGGCTTCCCGCGCAGGGTTCCCATTGGCCGCGGGGCGGGACGTGCCGCCCCACTCCCAGCCCTATATTAGGGAAATATTGCCCCAGCGGGGTGTGGGGAGCGGTGCTGCCCCGCAGGCCATGGACCTGGGGTACTTTCCCCTCGCCTTCCCGCCGGGGCTGTGCCGCGGAACCCCGGAGTCACCCTTTTCCCGGCTGGCGGACGGCACCTTCCTGGCGCTGGGCACCGCAGCCAGCGCCGCGTCAGCCCCGCCGCCGGCTGCTTGCGCAGGGGCAGCGGGGTACACGGCCGCCGCCCCCGCGGAGCCGGGCTCCAGCTACCGGCCGTCCCGCGGAGCCGGGCTGCCGGACTGCTCCACATCCATCTTCCCCGGGAGCGGCCGCCCCCCGACGCCTCCGGAGGTCGGCCCCTCCTGCCCCGGCGGTGTCCCCCCGCCCGGCTCCCTGGCCCCCTCGGCGGCCCCGGCGGCGCCCCGCACCTTCGAGTGGATGCGAGCGAAGCGGAGCCCGCCCGGGAGAAGTGAGTGGGGCGGCGGGGGGCGGGCGGGGGCTGCTCCCATCCCAGCTCCCCTCTGATCCCCTCCTGCCCCGACCCCCGCCCAGCTCCCTTCCCCTTCCCCCCGCTGAAGCGCGGTGTTTTTCGGCGTTGCAGGCGGTGCGGCGCCGTGCAGGGGGGACCCTCCCGCCTGCCCCGCACGCACCAGCTTCAGCACCAGGCAGCTCACGGAGCTGGAGAAGGAGTTTCACTTCAGCCGGTACCTGTCGCGGGCTCGCCGTCTCGAGGTGGCCCGCTCGCTGCGCCTCCGCGACGCCCAGGTGAAGGTCTGGTTCCAGAACCGCCGCATGAAGCAGAAGAAGCGGGAGCGGGAGGCGCTGGCCGCCCCCACCGCCGCGCCCGCCGATGCCCTGGGCGGCCCGGCGTGAAGCCCCACGGCCCCCGACGGAGGGGTCCGCCGGGGACGTCGGGGCAGGGAGGGATGCTGCAGCCGGCGGGAGACTCGCGGTGCCCTTTGGCGCGGGACCGCGGCGAGGCAGCTCCCCTGTGGTTGTTGGTATTTTCTTTCTTTCTCTATTGCAACTTATTTACAGTTTTATTTATGAGGATTCAGGGAAAAGTGCCAGCCCGGAACGCTGCTGCTCAAATTCTGCCCGTGGGAGCAGTCTGGCACAGCCTGGAGATACCGGGGACTGCCGCTGCACCGGCTGCCCTGGGCTCGGCGGCTGCCCAAGCAGCCGGCCCCTTCCCCGTTTTCCATTTAAGGAGAGATACGCAGGCTAGGGCAGAGTTCATGCAGAAGAAGGGGGGAAAGCCCGAGAATAGAGCAGAACAGAGCAGGGAAAACTTCTCACAGGAGTATGAGTCCAGGATCCCCTTCTGGAAAAAGTGCCCTTGTCTTGTGCCCTACCCTTCGCAAAATTGCTGCAAAAAATTATGCTGTTTCTGCTTGTATTTATTCCTCGTTTGTTCCTATTCCTTATGCGGCTAGTTTAGTCCAAAATCTGCTTAGTAACCGTGAGGGAAGATTTTTAAAGAAAGTCAGTCTAAGGAGGAGCACCTCATTCAAACTGCAGAGGTGCTGGGATTTTCCTTACAGAGGCTGCACAGGACCAGACAGCAGCCACTCCACTGGCTTCCAGCACCTCTTGCATGTGCCTAGGCAAGGACAAGACAATATAAAACCTCTTACAGCATCTAGATGTAAGATCATCCAGCTCTGCAGGCTTGATTATATCTTACAGTTAAAGAAATGCACCATGTGAAATCTGTTTGCAACAAGTCTTATTACATGCGAAACCTCAAGACCTGTTAAAGTACAGAATAATGCTTGGGTTTGACCACAGAACTCTGGCAGCGAAAGACCAAGAGGATTCCTGGGTCTTTTACCATTCAAAAAGAACAACTGATTACCGCATACGAGTGCAAAATTCACCAGTGTTCTTCACATGTCCCCATTTCATCTTTCCCAGAGGTAAAATAACTGTACTGAAGTGCATAGAAGAGTCAAGTTTAGATTCTTTTCCTACCTGTGAACTGGAAAGCATAACAAGAATGTGGAGAAGAATGACATCTGGATTTATGGGAAGGTGATTTTATTTATTTGTGAGACAAAATGATTTTGGACAGCACATTTGTTGCTCTGGATTTCTGCTGGGTGAAGAACAACTTGTAGCAGGAGGGGAGATGTATCTCAGGGGACCTGTGAGCACCAAGTTCCTGTTTGGAAGCCAGCCCCAGACACAGACAGCTGTTGATTTTTGTTGAGTGCTTGTTGGGCAAACCAAGACAGAAGATGAAGATGGATGTCTCAAGTCAGAAAGTCCATAATGTTGGGGATACTTATTCTCTGTAATACCTTCCATTCTCCAATGTACCCCTCTGCTTATAAGCTTTCCCATGAAGATTTCTCCCTTGGACTGGGAAGCCATCGCTGATGGCAGCTTCAGTAGAGGTTGGCAGGAGTCCTGGGAAACAGTGTGCTCCAAAAGCCAGGCAGGCATGTTGGGATGATGCCATGGCTGAGCATGAGCAAGCAGCCTCCTTGGCAAGGAGGTGGGTGCCCCTGCAGTGAGCATCTGCAGGAGAGGACCTTCTAAGACAGAAGGATTTGGTTACGCATCATATCCCAACTGTACCTGGAAAGTACAATGAGGCTAAAGGCTTGTGGTTGTGCATGGACACAGGGACATTTTTGTTCTGTATATGGTGTTACGGTTCATGTCCCACTGATTCATTTCACAGGTTATCACTGAAAAATTCTCAGGACTGAAGTACTCGTGTGGAACTAGTTGCAACCAAAATATACGGTTTTCAATTCCTTATTAAAGTAATGACACCAAACAAGTGTTACACTGCAGGCTGATCATTCATTAAGAAATAGGAAAAATTATTTCTGTCACCTGTTTTTGAGAAGATGCTATTTAAAGCAGAATAAAACAAAATCTGGTAAAATTAATAAAAACTCAAGGAAATAAAATTTGATTTACAAGCTGAATATTAAAGTCAAGTCAACTACTAATCAACCCTTTTCAGGTGTTCTTAAGGTACATATCTACCAAGTCTCCTGATAGTTTTTGGTTTTTAAACAACAATAAGCATGGACAAGTAGTCAGAATAGCCCATCTTTCTAAGAGCACATGGTTCACACGCAAACTTTATAAAACAGCTGTGTTTTCAGTTACCTCCAAATTTGTCACATGTCTATGGGATTGCCGGTTTGTCAGCCTTTTATTTTCCTAATGATTTTGACATTTGTGCTGGGCACTTCAGGCCAGAGGAATGTTTTCCATCCTGCTGGCATGTTCCTGCGCTACCAACATGGAAAGAAAGATTCTCATTGATTTCAGTGGTGCTGGATCAAGCCATTACAGCACACTAAGTCTTTTGTAATGAATGTTTTCATGCGGTATATTTTCCTGAATAAATAAATACATGTGCAGGCCTTGTAGCAGTGCACAGTTCTGTATCCATCAAAATGACACAGCCTGAATATATATTTACTTGCAAATTAAGATGAAACCTTACAACTCTTTTATGGCAGTCTGAATCAATTTGCTGTTATGAACACAACTGTATTCTGCCTTAAGAGCCAGTACTTAGTATTAAGTGCAGTTTCTGCTCACATGACAGGGCCAGTTTAATAGGATCTTTCTTCTTCACCAGCAGTTTTAGCTGTATGAGAATTAGATATTGCTCCTTTGCACTGTTCTGTCAGCAAGATACCCAGAGGAAGGAGCTAATGCAAGTCATGTGCTAATTCCTGAATAATTAAATGCTAAATAAATGATAGATAAGGTCTAAGATTCCCTCATTTAACATTAATCCCATTAATTGTGTCTCACACACATTCAGTTTGAAGCCTAGCAGTTGGAAACAGGTTTTGGATTAGGCACATGGAGGTAAGAGCACAACCTGCAGTTCTCACTGCAATCTGAACAAATACCCACCACCATATAATTTATCACAAGTTATGAAAATACTATTTCCTGGCCTTATTTTCTCTCAAACATCATTAGAAAACACAGAAAGACCATTCTCTTTCAGTCATATATTAATTTTTGCCTACTGACTGTTGCTCAAAGGGCCACAGGCTACAAAGGGATATGAACAAAATAATATTTTTCATGTGTTCCCATTTTGCCTGAAACAGAACAAAAATATTGATTTGGAAGGCTTCCAAGGAGAAAAAACTTGTAAAATTACTGTTCCTAAGCGGTATATGTGAATGTAGAGAATTCATATCCTTTGGATAGGTAACTGATAACAGAAAATCACACCTCTTTGAAAACCAAGCTTGGGCAAGAACCCACGCTTGCTTTGGTATCTAGCTTTCCATGCAGAACTGAATGTTACTGCTTGCAAATACAGCACAGGGAATGCTTTGCCGAGGGTCAAACCAACGACTCCAGGATATGGTATAAACTGCAGATACAGGTTTATTTCGAGCATGAAAGAACACAGCAGTAAACCAGAAAACAAAAACATGCAACCCAATCCCCACATTTTAATCTCCTTTTAAAAGTGTGCCATTTCCTCTATTTATTGGTAAAACCTGGAATGGTGGCTTACGCATAAACCAGTACAGATTATTAGTAGAGGAGAACAGACTATTACTTCTTTTAAGAAAAACCTTTGCAGGCAAAGTTACAAAATGGAAAGACCTCCTTGTAGTTCCAAGCACTTGTCTCTAACACCTAATAAATCATACTTATGATGTGTCCTGCACTACTCAGCCTAAATTCCAAGGAAATCCCGAGAACACTTGCAAATCCCTGATGGCCAAGGAGAAAGAGGTATGGAGAGAAACCCCAAATAAGACATGGTTGTTACCAGTTTATCACTAAGAGGTGACTGAAGTTTAGGGGAAACACATTCTTTTCTATTAGTGATATATGGCTACATACATGACTCAATCTCAAGCGTTATTTTCTATGACTTTTCTTAATGTCAGTGAACTAGAAGAGTCTTTGTCCAGGGAAAAGCACCCTGTTGAAAGAAAGGAAGGTGAACCAAACGACAAATAACTCTGCTCCCTGAAGTAACAAAGTCTGGTATTCATTCTTCCCCCAGCCGTATCTCCAAAATGCCCCCCAAATAATTATGAGCAATATATAGGAAAAAATATTTCCCGGAGCCAGTGTCTTATTGTATTTTACATTTATCCAGAAATTATTTGCTATTCTTGAACGCCAGCCAAGTGAACAAAGTAACCCTCAGCTGTGCAACATGTGAACCTTCCTTGTCTTAAACTTATGTCTGCACAGAGTGTTAAAATCTCAGATGAAGATACAGTCCTTACAACTATTTGTAAGCAGAACAAGGCTTCCTTTATACTGAAAACATTTAGACCACATGCCCACAAAAGAGCTTTTCATAAACAGTTTTGTTTTTCTTGTGTTTTTGTTTCCTTAAAAAGCAACAGATCCTGGTGATTAGCAGATTGAAAACCAAGCAGTTTAAGTAAACAAACAAATACATGAACAAATACAGTCAGTTCATTCTCTACCAGCCCATCAGACTTCCCAACACCTGGAAAATAGATATTTTTTACTACACTTCATCAAAAAGCATAGTGTTACAGATAATAGACCACAATTTTGAGTTTATTCTGGAAACCGAGGCACCTTTAACCAGGATAGCATATCATGCCTTGTGAAAACGTGTAACAGGTCCAACTCCAGCAGTCTGGCCCTGGCCTTAAGAGTGAGACTCCAACACCTACCACCATGGGGGACATACCTAACCTGGGTGCTTGTTCCCTTACACAGAGAACAAAGAACTTGGCAATGCATCGATCCATGCTGCTGTGGGTGTGCATAGAATTACACCCATATGTGAATTCAGTGGATCAGGAGAGCTGCTTCTGCTGGGCAAAGGAACTATTCCTTCTGCCCATACAGCCTGAGAAAAAAATACCCGCATCCCCGTAATATGATTTCGGTGACATTAATACAGCAGGAGAACCTTGAGAGCTAAGGCTTTCCAGCCATTACTCTTCATCTTAATGGTTGTTCTACACTAAATCTACAGTTCTAATGCCCCTTTTTATGTTCCTTTAACAAGTAAGCTAGATTAAACACAATAAAGTTGATAGTGGTATTTGAAAATAGATAAAAATCTCACTAAATTTTTTAATGACTACTCAGATCGGATTTTGCCCAGTTACTGTTCAGATAATGGAAACAATTTCTAATCCTGGCAGTCTCTAGTATCAGATCCATATGTTAAGCACAGATATTGGAATAATTATTTTTAAAGCACACACATTTATAGATTTATAAATTATACCATTTATGTGGGATAACATTTTCTTCAACATCAGAGTGTATCAAATGTAATGATAATTATGAAACAGTGATAAAGCCCTATCAATAAACAACATCTATCTTTCTCTTTAGAAATTCAGCTGGGTAGAAACATCATAGGTACCTGACACCAGTGGGTTATCAAAGCCGTTTTCTCCTCCTGGAGAGACTAGCCCCTAAAACACAGCTCACACAACAGGGAGATGTCTTATAACAGGTCCAAGATTCTGTAAAATGCTGTGATTGTAACCAGCACTGTGAGCACTGTGACTTTCATTTTAATGTGACCAGGCAGACAGTGCAAAAAAATGGGACAGGACTGTTGAACAGTCTTAATATCACGTCTCACTTAAGAAATGGTCCACCTGGTGCATCTGGTTGCTTTTCAAATGTGGTACCAAATGAAATAGATTTGGTAATCTGATTTGGGACATCACAAGTGTGAATTGTTACCGCAAAAGCCACATGAGGAAAGGATTATCACAACTCTAGAGCTAATAATAACTGTGAAAGAAAAAGGAAAAAAAAGGAAAAAAAGAATTATGTCCTGTCTGCATGTTGTCAGTGTCATTTATGATGTTGTTGTGTCTGCCACCTGTGATCTAAGTCCCGCAACAGAGCTCATCCTCCCCAGGGGCAGATGGCCTTGCTTTCAAGAACTGGGAGAGCATGGCTCTGACCTGTTCTTCTGAAGACTTTTTCCTAAATTTAAAATCCATTGTATTTAATAAAAAGGTGATGGCATACCTGGAAGTTGTCAGCAACAGTCACATCCAGACAGGGACACCAGACACTGCCAGCCTGCAATTTGTTTTGTAAAGCCATCATCAGCCTGAGCATCACTGGTGGCTGCATAATATCCAAGCAGTGCAACCGATTGCTCACGTTTGCTGGGTTAGTCAGTCTCAGGGCTTGTTTTGCATTGGTCCTGCCTGCATTCAACCATGTTGATAGTCCAGGTTGACTGGCCATCTGACTCATTAGTGTACGTCTTCTGTACCAGAGCTGAGATATACTGGCAAGTCCATGTATTCATCTTATTAAACACATTTAATTCAGATCTTAAAAACATTACTCCTTGTCCTGGTTTCAGTGGTAATAGTTATTTTTCTCCTTCCTCGCAGCTGCTGCAGTGCTGTGTTTCAGCTTTAGTCTGAGAACAATGCTGATAACACACCAGTGTTTTAGTTGCTGTTAAGTAATACTTACCCTGACCAAGAACTTCTCAGTCTCAGTCTCCTCTGCCAGTGAGGAGGGGCACAAGAAGCCAGGAGGAATCAGAGACAGGACACCTGACCCAAACTTGCCAAAGGGGTATTTCATATCACAGCACATCATTCCAGTATGTAAGCTGGGGGGAGTCACCTGGAAGGCACAGATCACTGCTCAGCTCAGGCTGGGTGTCAGTTGGTGGGTGGTGAGCAATTGTACTGTGCACCACTTGTGCTTATTGATTTTTTTCCTTTCCTCTTTTAGTTTTATATTCTCTCTCCTTGTTACTTCCTTATCTTTATTATTATTATTATTATTAGTAGTAGTAGTAGTTTTGTATTATACCTTAGTTATTTGACTGTTCTTATCTTAACACGTGGAGTTTACATTCTTTCAATTCTCCTCCCTCTCCTGCCCGGAGTGCGTGTGTGACAGAGTGGCTGCATGGTTCTGAGTTACAGGCTGGGCTTAAACCATGAAACTCCTGAAACTCTTGCCAGCTTTCAGGGAATTGAGAGGCGGTGATGGATTGGGGAAGTTACATTTACACATGGCTGCTAGCCGGACTGAGCTGGAATTCAGATAGCCTGTGCTCTCTGCGCACTCATAGAAACTGAATCTGGCTCATGTGGCTCAAAACATTTCTCAATCAGGCATTCTTTTTCCATCTCCCAGTGTTCAAAGGGCTTCAAAGTGCATATTCGTTGAAAAATGTTGTAAAATCATTGCTGCACTACTTTTTATTTCTGGTTGCTTGGTCTCAAAAAAGACTAAAGGAGACACCTGGTGCTTTTCTCACACCCTTCTACTGGTTCCAGGAAAAGGATCAATCTGATCTGCCACATCTCCTCACAAATCTCAGGAGTTACTCAGCCTCACCAGCTCATGCCCGCTACTAAAAAGACCATATGCTTTTAATCTATATACATTCAAGTTCTTTCAGTCAGTGTGATTTTTTTCCTTACCACAGTTATACCCTGGGGAGAAACTATGTGAAGTATGAACTTCTACAGCTGTAATGAAGATATGGCAAAGCTTTTCTTGCTCCTTTTATGGAGCAAGACAATGATTTTAGATGGAATAGATTCAACTTCTGAAGTTTCTGCTATGTCATATTTAGTGAATCAACTCAGCCTCAGTTAAAAATATAGCAGGGTACTCCTGTATAGTCAGGCTACGTGTTTAGATTGGAAGTGTTGGCAAAAATAAAACAACAATAGGGAAAATTATGCCTTATTTATGAGACACATGGGGGAAATGATTCAGAAAATAAAAAGTCAATTCCATGTAAGCTTTTTACAAAAGGAGGTTTCCCATCTGGAGGCAAAAAGTTTATAAAAGGTCATTCAGCTCTGCAGCATTTAGCTGTAAAACCAAAAAAAAGTCAGTATAAATAACAGATTGCTTCTCTAAGAACTAAGCAATCAGGTAGAACCAGTATGACTCTTATGCTGAAGTGAGAGGGATAGCACAAAAAGCCAAGAGAGAAGCCCCATTCCGGCTCAGCAGAGACAGCATTAATGTGAGGTCAACAATGTTCAAGTCCCTGCTCCAGTGTGTTGGTCTCCCCAAGGATATGGAGGTTGAATGGGATGGTTTGACCCCATGAATTCTCTACCAAACTTTCTTCTTAGTCATTAAGATTTTGTGTTGGGCTTTCATGTTTCAAGAGAGTGCCACACATAGGACAAATGAGTATTTTTGTAGGTCTCTTGCTTTCTCTCTCTTTCTAAAATCTTCTAAAGGGGTTTTGGTTTTATCCCAGTGTGCAACAGGAACACATTTTTAATCTCAAAAATCTTTTGGGACAAGGAAACCATTTCCTGCCCGGCTCTACAATTAATCACAGCACATCCTTCTTACAGTGTGCTACAGATAAATAATTCATTACAGCTGCTTCTTCTCTTCATTCAGGCAAGGCAGTTGTGATCATTTCTACAGGAAGAAGAAGAAAGTTAATTCTTTCTATGCCTGCCTCCAGAGAAGGATTTAGACCCTCTCACAAGAAGCTTTGATAAATTAATAAACCTCCTCATTATTTACCACACTTGTCCAGAAACTGATTTCAATTGCAGCTCTTTAATTTTCCAGATAACATCTTTAGAGTTTGAGAAGATTTGCCTAACCAGTGCCTACAGTCAAACTGTGAACTATTATTCCTACTTTTATTAACAAGATGGGTCTGGATTTTGCTGCACTATGAGTTACACAAATATCAGGATGAACCCTCACAGCTCTTGTGACTGCTTGTTGGAGTCATGACTGTGGCTTTGACATCTGTGCCAGTTTGACGATGCAGTGGTGATCCATGCTTTAAGAAAACAGATTTACTTGTGTCTGGTCAATCATGAATTACAAAAAGATAGACAAATATGGGAGTAGTCTGGTAACGTAGGTTGGATCCAAGGGAGCCAAAGATAGAGTCAGTTTGGCATGGAAACCAGGGCAAAGTCCTGTTGAAGCTATTGTCTCCCTTCTGAGAGCTCCTGCTTGCAGTCCCCTCTGATCTGAGATCGTTTAAAAGGCAAACCCTGGTCCCATATAGCTTAAGCTATGCGAAACCCACTGCTCTAGAAACATGCTCCACCTGCATCTGAGACACTACCAGGATGCTGGGGGCATTGATAGGCCTGATCAGCCCCACCTGGCACCCACATCACAACCTGCCAGTGGTCCAGGAGATCTATTTAAAGCTCAGCCTAAGGCAATTGCTCTATTTGCTCAGTTATGGTTCTTCTTTGGCTGGACTTTGACCTATGAATTGACACTCCTTTCACCGTGGAGGTGCCTGATGGCCTGGGCAGTGAGCAGTGCTAACATGCAGAGTTCTCTCCATGAAAGTTTAGGTAAAGCTGGGAAGATCAAGGTTTGGTTTCAATATCTTGGCTATTTCAGAGCATGGGGAAAGCTGCTCAGCAGCTGCTGTGAATGACAGGGATATGCAAGGGCCTGGGGGCTGGTAATGCTTCCAGTGGGTGAGACAGTGAAGTTGGGATTTCAGCACAACTCCTTTGATGCCTGTTCAGTGCAGCTGTGAGGATGACAGATGTGCTAAAATAGACTTGGCACCCCTGAAAAATCTCACCCTGCTGCATGGAAGAAGGCAAGAAAAGAGGTAAGAAAGGAAGGAGAAAATTGTTCATCTAATGTTTTTTGTACATAGTCTGAGATCCTGTTTGCTTTCATAAAAGCTATTCTTGTGCCTTTTAAAACTCCAAGAAATTTTTTTCTGTCCTCATGTGGCTTGTTGGAAATGCATCAGCATTAATTGATTTGTCAATTTAGTAGGCAGCATCTTCCATTAGTGCAAAGTGGTTAGTGTTAATACTCTATTGCATTTTTATAGAAGCGTGTTCCTAGAAATTATATCTTATCTTGTTTATACAACTGTTAGATTAAAACTTGTACCTGCCTGATTATGAAAATAAGGGAACACTCAACAACATGCAGTTAAGTTTATCATAGTGTGAAACTATTGTAAGATACATCTGAACTGCTGTGAAGCCAACTTAATGTTTTATTGTGTTGGGAATGCTACCACAGGGTATACATGCCAACTTCCCAAGGAAGTGCACAGGAGCTGCAGAGGTGAGTTTGGCCTCAATTTTCAATTCAGGTTCTCATATAAAATGGCACCTCCTTAGTAAACTCACAGGACTGTGTGTGTAATTGAAACTTGCAACTTGGCTCATACTTGGACCATTTTAGCATCATTTCTTACACTGAAGAGCAGTGGATTGCATAAAATGGCAAACACTTGAATTAAAGATACACCAAATGCCTTGTGAGATCCATTTGATCACACTAGTCCAGATCCATCTGTTTCTGTTGTTCTGTGTACTTTGCCAGGTTATTTAGTGTACAGAGAACCTCTGGTGTGAAGTCATGCTAAAAACACCCTCCTGCGGCTGCCTGGCACTGTATGTGTTGGCAGGGAAGGATTTACTCAAGTCTTCCTTCATTGCAGAGATTCCCAGAAGCCATAATAGCTTTTTAAAGACACTGACAGGCAGCATAATGCAGAGCAGCTCCCAGGATGCCCTAAGTTATACCAGAGGGGTAGCCTGGCTGTGGGCCAGGCAAGGAGAAGGCATTTCAGTGCTGGTTTGTTTGCCATCTCTTGCTACCACTTGGCCTATTCTCAAACACCAGCCATATCACACAAGCAGCCTTCAGAGGTTTCACTCGGTGAAATTGCCATACAGTTCTCTTACAGAGAGAGCCACTCCTAATTGAATCTATGACTGTCAGTGCTCCTCCTGTGTCTTGGAAAGGCCTGACTTGTTAGAGACCTGCTCCATGGAAATGGAGAACAGAGGTCCCCAGTTGTGTGCTGAGAAAGTGCTCTGGTGAGGTCTGTTGAACAGCACGTGGCCCCAGCTGGTTGTCTTGTGATGAATAAGGTCATGACCATATGACAACACAGGAAAACTCTGCAGTGTCCTCTTCGTCCTCCAAAGAGGAATGTCTGCTGTCAGCATTTGGCACACACAACCATTGTATCCACCTTAAATTGGACTTAACCTGCTATGTGCTTCGTGAATGAGAACTGCATGTGGCACCTAGCAGAACTCAAATTTAGAGAAACTCATTCAAAGGCCTCTGCTTTCTGGCGATTTGCCCAATCTTATGTTCTGCCATACACTTGGCCACCTAGACTGTAATTTGAATGGCCAGCAATAGTGGCTGTGTTAAAAACCAAACAGTTTAAATTAATCAACAGACTGAAAGTCTTTCATTGCCACTTCCAACTCCTCTTGTGAAAATATTCCTAATAATTCTGTCTGCAAAGGACTTGTACTGCAGGTTTAGGTATCCACTATTGATAGTAATACATTTTATTTAAATATTACCACAGAACAAAAGAACAATACAAATTAAATACATGTTAAGCTGTCTAATATTGAGGGAACTAATAAGAACAGTCTCTTTTTTTTCTAGGCAGGAGATTAATACTATTCAAATTCCATTTTATTTGCAATGGAGCATATGTATATATAGCCTAGTCCTGTTTCTCCAGTGGGCAGTTTAACTGTACTAATTAACACCTTAAATGGTAAAGGCCTCCTCTCTGCACTGAGCACAAGAGTGATGCCTTTTCTCGAAAAGCTGGGAGAGGAGAGAAGCCTATAAAATAAAGGTGAAGGTGGTGATGGAATTGGTTTTACTGGAGATCTTCCTGGAGGCTTTCCTACAAGACACTCTGCTAAAACAGTCCTTTCAGTGGGAGCAGGGAGGAGGACTGGGAATGCTGAAACTAAAACCGCTGTCCTGATCTCCTGTCCCAGAGAAGGGAGCCTGAGCATCTGTGCCATGTGACATGTCAAGGCATGGGCTCAGCTCCACTCAGTTTTCATCCTGTTTGGCAAACAGTTTGGATTTGTCAGTGTGTTTCTGTTCGTATGTATTTGTTGATACTTGATGAATTGTTTTCTGATTTCTGTTCCCTGACAGTTTCCATCACCCACCTTAATTTCTGGAGCTGAGCTTTTTGTATCAAACTGACCTCTACAGAGGAACTGTTCTCTTTAATTGGGTGTCAAGATGAGGATTTGGCCTGGCTCATACCTAGTTCACTCTCAGCCTTATCAGGGCAACTTTTGCATCATGTCTTGTGTTTTTAGCCTTCTAAGTACTGTTGGTGAAGAAAGAACTCAAACAGGACATACCAGTTTAATTTAGACTGTTGCAATCTCCTAATACAAAGGCACTCAAGTTCTTAAGACCGCTCAGTTTCTGTAATTTGGGTGCTATTCAGCTTGCAACTGTAGAAATGTAGCTTTCATCAACATTTGAAAACAATCAGTCTTCTTCCTCACCACTGTTTCAGTCCTTACTCTGTTCCAGTTTATTTACTGTCTCTTCTGCTTTTGCTACTGCTCTAATAGCACACTTAAACTACCAAGTGAAGAATATATTTAATAATTATGCTTAGTGATTCAACAGAAAGTGTCACCAGAGGACTTTCATATTCTTTCCAAACATTAACGCATTTCTGTATTTGTTCCCTATCTTCTAGTACTTGCAGGATTTAAGACTTTTACCTTGTGACAGTGAAATATTGTTATGTTATATCCTTTGCAGTAGATTAAGTCTATTTCATAAAATGGGATAGTCTTAATTCTTACTGAAGTGTCTAAAGAGATGAGGATCAAAAGGCACTGTAGGATAATGGAGTAAGTCTTTCACATATCCACTCTCTTCTCTGCAACCTACATATTGGATGCATAATTTTATGTCATTTTTCCAAAGTTTGGATAGCCCTTTTAGAATTAAGACTAAGGAATTAGTGGTTGTTTAAAGGTAAGACGTATGTCCCAAAATGAAGTTTTTCTGAAATATTAACTTGGGGTGAAGAAAAGGCAGCTGTATCATTTACTGAGACCTTTTAGTTATAGCTTTAGTTATAACAGGACACTTTAGGAAGCATTTAGGTACCAGGATGTTGAAAACAAAATATTCAGTATGGTCATTAAAGAAAGCACCTAAGACTCTCAGAACATCCTCCTTTCATTCGGATCATTTTATGATGGATTTGCCTCCTCTCCTCCATCATTCGTGTTTTAAAGGTAAAAAAAAATAAATGGTCCAGCATTGTTCTGAAACAATCCAGGGGAGCAATATATTCCAAAGCTGTATAGCCATAACTAATCACTTTCATTCATGGTTTATGTCAGGGTAGAATTTTAACTTGCAATTAACTTGCAATTTCAGGCAGTTAGCGGTTGACCTTTTTCTGCTTTCAGGCTCTAAACCAGATTTAGCTATCTCTTCAGAGAACTAATGTGATTAAACCTTCATGTGTGTCAGAGCTCCACATAGATGAGTGGCAGAGGAACTTAAGATGGCTTGAGTCACCTTTCTTGGGAAACTCTAGAGCTGGTTACAGCATTCCAAACAGCTCTTTCTACATTGAATTAGAAACAACCAAACAAAACACTCAACCACAAAACCAACCCCAAACCAAAAGAACCCCAACAAACCAACCAGCAAATCCCCCTGTTGAGATTCCTTCATAAAAAGGAAATGTAAAATAGTGTGAACTTGTGTCTTCAGCTCCTTTAAGATATTGCCTCTACATGTTATGTGGAGCATGTTAAGCTGACTTTCTATCAGTAACAGGGATTCCCTGTGACAGGGGATTTTGAGCCACTGAATTTGTAAATGTTTCTTTTGATGTTGCTCTACTGGTCCAGTGCAACCTTGTCCCTGGATATTGGCCAGTGGTTCTTCCTACCATTCAACAGACAGGAGTTTTGTCTTCACTCGTCTTGTGCTTGTATTTCCAAGTTACGAGAATTACCACACTGTGGCTGAATATACAGTTGGCCTCAGTAACGTTTCCACAGGATGTGGATTCAAAGGGTTTTTCCTCAGACTGGATTGACTGAGAGCAGTAACATGAGGATGTGGACCTTTTGGACTGAGTCCAGAGGAGGGCCATGAAGATGGTCAGATGGCTGGAGCACCTCTCCTATGAAGACAGGATGAGAGAGCTGGGCTTGTTCAGCATGAAGACTCCAGGAAGAGCTGATAGCAGCCTTCCAATACCTAAAGCAGTACAAGAAATCTGACGGGGGATACTTTACATGGGCTTGTAGTGCTAGGACAAAGGCTTTAAACTAGAAGAGATAGATTTAGGTTAGATACAAGAAAGAAATTCTTTACTGGGAGGAGGGTGAGATGCTGGAACAGGTTGTCTAGGAAAGTTGGGGCTGCCCCATCCTTGCCAGTGTTCCAAGATCAGGCTGGACGGGGCTTGGAGCAACCTGGTATAGCAGGATGTGTCCCTGCCTATGGAACTAAACGAGCTTTAACGTCCCTTCCAACCCAAACCATTCCATGAGTGACTCCCAAACACCGGTGTATTCGCAAAAGCCTCTCTCTACCCGTTAAGCACCGTTTAACCGCGGAAAGCCTGTTTCAAACAGGCACCTGCCCCCCACACCGCTTCCCCGTCCCGCGGACCGGCGCGGGTACGGCGTTGGGGGGAGCTGGCGCGGGCCCCGCCCCGCGCGGCAGGGGCGGGGCGGGCCCCGGATGCAGTTGCTGCCCCGGCGGCGCGCGCCCAGTTCCTGCGCGTGTCGTCGGCCTGCTGCAGCCCGCCGGTCGCGACATGTCGCTGGTGGCGGAGGCCTTTGTGACTCAGCTGGCCGGTGAGGGACGTGCGCGGGCGGGTGATGGCACAGAGAGGGACGCGAGCGAGCTGGGCCCCGCTGCGCACCGGGTCGCGGCCGGAGGGAGGCGGCGGGGCAGGAGACAAGCCTTCGCGGCCTCGGTGGCCACGGCCCGGAATGACCCGGGGCTGGGGCGAGGCGGCCTTGTCTTCCTCGGGGAGGGGCGGCCGTGAGGGCTGGCGGCGGTCCGAGAACGTCGTCTGCCTGGCGCTCTGAGGCAAGGACAGGTCACGGCCCGACTCCCCACAGGGCACGGCGGTGCCGGTTCGTCTCGGGGCCCCATTACAGGGTTCCTAGGGCGTAGTTTCACTTTCGTTTAATAACTTCTCTGTCTTTAAAACCATTTACTTTCCCTTAGTGGTCCAAAAACCGGCATCGTATTTATATTTAAGCAGCTGGAGTTGAGTTCCGCAGCATGGGAGAGCTCAGTGCGGTGCCGTCCTCTCCCCGATCCCCATGGCTGAGTCTTGCGTTTCCCATGTTGCTCTTGTGATAAACTGAAGCTGGGCCGCGTCCAGCTGGACGTGAGCCTTGTCATGAAACAGAAATGAGTATCACTGTGGAGTTACGTAGCAAAAAACTGATGTTAATCTGCTCTGAACAGGAAAAATCCCAACATGCACCTCTGATAATTCCAGGCTAGGAAGTTCAAAATACATTTAGTGTTTCACACTGAAACTGTGTGCATTGATCAATTTCTCCTTACTTGTTATTCTCTGTTCCTGATTTCTTCCTGCTAAACAAGCAAATTGTAAAATATGGCAATGACAGACCCAAATTAAATACAGTGCGAAGAATATGTGTGTTTGAAGTGCTGGAAACAAGAAGACAAAGTTCTGCAACAACTGGCTCTTTTCCCTCCTTGCTGAAGTGTTCTTGGGGAGATTCTTGCCTCCCTTTTGGGGTCGTTGCTCTCTGCTTATACAGTCTCATTCGTGTGTTAACAGTTGTACTATTAAGGTGGTGTTTTGAGGGCACCAGAGCTACTCAAGTACTTCTGGACCCTCCTACAATTTAATAAGCTTGAAACAGTAAGCACCTCGACTTTACCTGTCAGTCATGGGTTAAGTGATGCTCATTTTCTTTTTATAGGTAATTTGTTTGCATGTAATAGAAAAATACTGGCAACACTCCTTTTGCAGAGCAGAAATGGTTGGTGCTTATTTTATTAATCATGTACTTCTGCTGGATATGCAGGTAATTACTGTGACTCAAGGTGCAATACAAATCCTTGTTGCAGACCTGAATCATTCTTCAAAACAAAATTATTGTTTTGAAAGGCATTGTCTTTGCTTTCTCAGAAGCAAATCAGTGTCAAAAGCAGTTACCTGCCTTGAAAATAATACAAAAAAAACCTTTTGCCAGTGGGTCATGTCCTTCCCAGCTTGTCTGTACTGTGTACCAGTCCCAGACTAAAACTAAATAATGGCAAAATCATTCAGTTTGTGCATATGGAAGATTTTTTTTTTTGGAAGGGGAGGAAGTTATTCAGGATATTGGCCAATACCCACCACACTTCTAGTTTTCCTGTGACATTGCACAGACACAGAAATTATTTCATTCTCATACCAAGAAGATATGAATATCCCACAAACGTAGGAATGTTTGTGCGGAAGAAAAATGGTGTATCTGCAATGAAAAAATAGCACTTAAGAGTGACACTTGTTTTAATAGTGTCTTATCTGTGGCTGTGAATACTCCCTTTCTGACATGTATGGACAGAAGTGTAAGAATGATTGAGAATTTTTTCCGTGTCCATAAAAATGAAATTTCATAGGCCTGTCATCGGGGGTGCTGTTCATGAAGACAGCCGCTTTGTCATGGCGGGTAAAATGAACTAGTGCTGCTCTAACACATAACAGCTATGAAGCATGGGTCTTTGCATGCAGGTGTTTGAAGACAGTCATCCCAGCATAGTTTGTTTTCTAGAAATGTTTTAAAAGCCAAGGGGAAGGTTTTAGTAGGGAAGAGGATCACAGCTTTGTTTTACACAGTCTTGCTTGTGTATATATTAGAGGTTTTTTTTTTCAAATACTACCTATCTTTACCTTTCCTCCATCTTATGCATTCACTTCTGATATCCCCTATTCACTGTCTTAGTAGAAATTGAAACGCAGAAAATACCATCTGAATATAAGAAAAACTTTTATTTTACTGTGAGGGTGGGTTAATGTTGGAACGGGTTGCTCAGAGTAGTTGTGGAGTCTCCATCCTTGAAGGTGCTCAGTACCAAACTGGAGGTGGTCCCAGGCAACCTGCTGCAGCTTCCCCTGGACCTCCAAAAGTGCCTTCCAAACTCAGCTCTTCTGTGGCCATCAGTTGTTCAGCCCACTTGTGCTGCTGCAGTAGTTCAGCACCCTGTCTGTGTAACATGCATTCACCTGAACATGCTGAGTATTGCCTGCTGCTGTAATGCATTAACAATTAAATACAAAACGATGACTAAATCGCTTATGTGGAGTAAAACACCTGCTTTAGTGCCACTCAACTGTTTGCTTATTCAGAAGGATAAAGAGGTTGATGCTGTGACTCAAGGAATAATAAATATTTCTAGGCTTCATGAATTGCAAACATGTAATGTCATATTTTAAATAATCTATTTCTGAACTGTAGAAAATATTAATTAGATAATATGGTAGAGAATTTGTTTAGAGTAGCTCAGCATCAATCATATATTAACAGGATAGGAAATGAGTGTTTATACTGTAAGAAGAATTAGAGTGCCAGCTTTCAAGTGGTCCAGAACATTAATCTTTCTAACTGTACTAGTTTTGAGAAGCTGACTGCTCAAATCATCTATAAAAGATTGTTGAAAAGATGTTTAATTGATCGCTAAATTACTCAATATGCTATACTTTCCACCCCCCCAAAAAACCCCCAAAACATTAGCTTTAGATTAGTGATCAAAAGAGAGAAAATAATATTCTTGTTTGTCCTTTGATGTCTGGAAAATTACTTCTGTTTATTGCCACTGAGTTACGTCCAAGGATCTTATGCTAGTTTTAATACTAAAGAAAATGAATGCAGTTTGAAAAACAGATGGCCTTCTGCCTTTAGATATTTTACATTCTTAGTGAGTCTACCTCCAATGTGACATGCCAGAGCACAAATAAATCTCTGACATGCATGTTTTATGTATTAAGACAAGCTGCAATTTGGCTAAGAACAAATACATAGGGAATGAAACCTGACCACCTAAATTGTTCCTGCCCATAAAGACATAAAATTTAAACCAAGTATGCATTTTGTACATCAAAATGTGCATAGGTAAATGTTAACATTTCCTGCATGTGTAAGGTGAAAAAATAAAGCTATTCTTGCTTAATAATAGGTTGTCTGCAGCACAGATTGCTTGAGCCTGCTGCAGAGGTGCTTGTAGTCAAAGAAGTGGTTTGAAAATACCAAGTTTTCAGGCTGTATAATTTTATCTCAGTGCTCTTTTATGTGGGCTTTTTTTTTGTAATCAAATGAAAAGGAATCCCTTTAACTTTTGTTCAGTTTCAGTACACAAGTCTCTTACGCTGCTCTTGCCAATTTGTGCTCAGGCCACATACATTTTATGACTTGATTTAAACCAATCCTTTGTGTGAATTGCCTATCTAATTTTTTTATTTTTTTGCTCGGGAAAAAAATGATTTTCACAGTTATTATAGTACAGTACATATTTCATTTTGAGGTAGTGTTATTTCTTGGTTTCAAGAAGCAATACAATTACAGTTTGTAATAGAATATGCTTCTGTAGTTGTTTCTGGC